TATACTAATAAAATAAATACAAATAAGAATAAAATAAAATAAAATAATAAGAAATTATGAAAGTGGAGGAAACCCATAGTAACAGCGTATATGTCCTTAATAATAAAATTGTTAATAAAATCTTTGTGACATTTTGATTTATAATTCTGTGTAAATTATTATTTATATACTGTATGGATATTTCTTATAAAAACTCACCTTCTGCCTCTTTCAAAATAATCTGTAATAATAAAATCATTCATACTTTATACTTCCTTTATAGTATAAAATTTCTTCAACATTGATAGATTGAGTATAGTTACTGTGTGTTCACTATACATATCTCTCTGCCTTTAGTTGTTAGTTTATCATATTTATTTGAAGATAATCATGGTCAACAACAGTATTGAGAGTAATGTTAGCAAAAGTGAAAGTGAATTTGAAATAATTTGGGATAACAATAAATGTGATGAAAAAGCTGATAATTTTATTGAAATTTTATTAGATGGAATGAAAAATCTGCTCAAAAATCTGTCTATATTACAATTCAATTTGAATCAAAAAAGAAAAAAGTTAAAGTTAGCATTTCCATTGCAAGACAATTAAAAAAATGAGATTATTTTGCATGTTACATCAGAGAGTAGAAAAACTTGCCAAAAAAAGAATGTTCCTATTTTTAAATGGGAAGACATCAAAAATAAAATCTTTGTTAAATGGTGAAGATATTCAAATTATACTTGCACGCAAAATTATTTTGGGGTCCCGAAATTGCAATTTCGGGAAAAAAAGTCAAAATAGTTTTTTATAGAAGACGAAATTATTTTATTTAAAACCCAAATTTTTTGACCACCCAGATTTATTCTTTGATTAAAGATACATATAACTGGGTACTTTTTTTACTTCCATATATAGAATAGATTTTGCATAAATCTCAAATAGTCGAAATACCTCAAAAATCCAAAATCAATTTTGGGAACATGTATAATTCAAATACAAGTAACTTCATGTTTGTAGCAAAAAAAATTTGAATTTTATGTTAATGATTTTATTGTACAAATAATATTTTTCTAAAAAAATAGGATTTGAATTTAAAAAATTTTCTAAAAGTGTTTATATTAATAGATATAAAAGATATGATGTTGTTAAATATCAAAAAAGTTTTTAAAACAAATATAAAAAACATGTAAAATATTTATTTCAACAGGTATTATTATACTTTTTAAATATTTTATTTCCAAGTTCATTAGTTAAAAACCTGTACAATTAAATAATTAAAAATTAATATAATAAAAGTATAATAAATAATTCAAAAATATAATTGTCATTAAAAATTAGTTGATTTTATTATAGGAAGTTTTAGAAAATAATATTCACTAATAATTTTTTTTGAAAATCAATTTTAGATAATATAAAAAATGTATAATTAAACTTTATTAATTTATTATATGAAATAATAATTTTTATCTAAATATTTCTGTCGATACTGTATGATTAAATATATAACTCTTATATTATATTGTAAAAATCTTTGTAATATTTAATCATATTTTAATCATACAGTACAGTTTATCAACATACTGTATGATGAGATGTTATAATACAGAAGAAAGATTAGCAAGACTTTCATTAAGATGTTCAAATAATTGCATGTATTTTTATATAAGATATAGATTTATTCATTCGAAATAAATATCACGTGCGTGTGAAGAATTCTTTCACACCGATCACTTTTGCCAAAATACACATCCCATACAAGTGTCTCAAAAACTAAATTACTATATGAAATTTAACTGGTCTGAAACTTTTATAAGTAATTCGCGAATATTTTAAAATTTAAGACTATTTAATATTGTTTTTATTGTTTATTTAGTAAAATAAATAACAACTTTGATATATAACAACTTTGATAATTATTTTTGTACTTTTATTCAAAAAACCCTATTTAATAATTTTGGATATTGCTCCAAAAGATCGGACTTGACATTTTTGGTCAATTTAATTTGAAATGTAATAAATAAAAAAAGGAATCATCTCCTTAAAAAAAATTAAATTACACGTTCTTATTTTGAATTTCGATGGTACGTATAATTTACACGTGTATGAGTTCATTAAATAAATGATTTGCATTTAAGAAAATTATTTGTATGAACAATAAATGATCTACACAAGACTGTTGAAAAGTTTGCATAAGTGTTCATCTCCATTTTCTAAAAGTTTAATAAAATCATTTGATAAATTTTCATAAAAATTTAATGCCATATAAAATTATTTGTATGAGCAAAAAAATAGAATTTTCGCGGTATTTTTTAAAATAATTTCTCTTTTGAAACAATTCCAGCCTTTTGTGTGGATAAATGCATTTAATAAATAAATGATCTGCATTCAAGAAAATTTATTTGTATGAGCGAAAAATTAGAATTTTCGTGGTATCTTTAAAATGTATTTCTCTTTTGAAACAATTCCAGCCTTTGTGTGGGTATTCATAGCTACATATGTTATTTATTGGATTAAGAAGCCAAGATTAAGTAAAGTAAGTAATTTTTTTTATTTTTCTTGTCATATAATATTTTAGTTTTTAACTCATTCTTTTTTTTCTTCAGAATGAACCTCCAATGGTTCCGTACAAAATTCCAATAATTGGCCATACATTAGATTATTTACTTAATGCCGAAAATTTCTTGGCCGAATGTAGACAAAAAGTAAATCATAATAATAATTCATTTCTAATAATTACGACAAAATAAATTAACAAAAAAATTGCGATGCATAGTACGGTGATCCTTTCAATATATATGTATTCGGTCAGGTGAATACTATAGCTGGAAACGAAACTATTCATGAAGTTTATGACTCCGATACTTTTAATTTGCTCAGTGCAACGCGAGATGTAAAATAAATTTACAATTAAAAAATCAATTGTTTCCATATTGATTTAATATTAGAAAACTTTTATTTTGATAACAATCATTTTTATATTATATTTATATATTATACATATACAATGGTCCTTAGGTATTTCCTTTGTATCGTGTTTTAAAAAGCGTTTTGGATCCTGGAACGACGGAACAATTGGTCAAAACGATACGTGAAGGAATCACTTCAAAATTACCTTTATACACTGGAAGAATACAAAAAAAACTTATGATTTCTATTAATAAGGAAATTGGAGATTGTTCTAGTAAGCCTCTTAGGTTTATTTTTGAAATAAAAATAGTAATAATAATAATAATTATTATTATTTTATTTGTTTAGACCCTAAATTAATTAACACGGCGAATGATAATTTCTCAAGCATGATCGCTCGTCCAGTAGCTGATGTTTTGGTTGGACAGGTAAGGTAAATTGTAAATTATAAATACGAAATAATATCTTTATCTTAATATCTTTAAATTATATTAAAGGAACTATCAAAAAATGAAGACGTGGTCAAAGCTTTTGCTGATTTTACCAAAGATTTTATATCAATTATCGCAATACCTCCCATTCTTTCATTCATTCATCCAAAAGTCCATGCCCAAGTTATCACTTTACCACTTAGATTTGGGAATAATCAAATTTCAAAACATGTGATTACTTTAAAGAAACATTTGAAACCTGTATTAGAGAAAAGATTGAAAGATAAAAAAATTCTTGGTGATAAATATGAACCACCTGTGAGTATTAAAAAAAAAAAAATTCAACATAACTAAAATAATTTCAACACTATTAAGAAAAATTAATTCTATTTAATAATAATAGTTGGATATAATTGAATATATTTTGAATAATCCTGAATACGAAACAAAAGTTATTACTGATGATTACTTGAATAAAATCTGTGAATTTATATTTATTATTATTGTTGCCTCTATAAACACTACTTCTCGTCATATTACTTGTGCTCTTTATGGTAAAAAAAGATATTTTATACCCATTAAATTATAATCATTTTATATAATTCCTCTCATTTTATAATTAATATTATTTTTATGTTTTATAATAGATTTTGCGGGAAGACCAGAATTATGGGATGATATTTATGAAGAACAAGTAAGAATTGATAAAGAATGTAATGGGGAATTATTGCCTCAACATATTAACAAAATGGTGAAATTGGATAGTTTTCTGAGAGAGTCTTTAAGGACTTTTGATGCTGTGGGTATGTAAATTTTACACACACACATATATATAAGTACTAGAGAATAATAATGAGAATAAATTTTTTAAAATAGCTGCCTTTCCTCACAGATGTTTGGAATCATATACATTTAAAAATGGCATGACAATTCCAAAAGGTATTCCATTTTAAAAATTTCTTTATTATTTATTTTAATAATCTTTTCCATTCAATAATATTAAAAATATTAATTTTTTTTTAAAAAAATAAATATCTAATCTGACAGGTCGTATAGTTCAAACTTATTTAATGGATGTTCATTACAATACCACAGCATATGGACCAGAACCAAGGTCATTCCTTCCTTATCATGGTTTGGAAAATAATTTCTCTGCATCAAAAACTGACAAAAATTATTTTATATTTGGTTCAGGAAAACATATTTGCCCTGGAAGGTTGGTATATTAAAATTATTTGATTAATTAATGTTTATAATAAAATTTTATAAATTTCAAGATATTTGATAAATATTTATTAAATCAATTTTTTAAACAGATTTTTTGCTGTAAATGAAATTAAAATTGGTATGCATAAATTAATTTTAAATTATCACATTAAGACACCAAGTGGAAAGATTGAAAAAAAGGTACGTTATGGACCTTTGGCTGAACCACCAGTTACTGGATTAATTTTTGAGAATAGAAAGAAGTAGATTAAAAAAAATTTCATTTACCAAGTTTCCTGAACTTTTAGAAATTTACGATTTTCTATTTTCTATGTAAAGTATTTTGATTAGTAATTACAATTTAATATAATTTTATTTTCCCTTATTTTATTATAATCTTGATAAATAATAAATAATAAAAATTTTATAATGTTTACAACAAAGATTCCTCCAATTTGATTTTGATATATTCTGCTATTTCAATACACAATAGAATATTTTTATCTTAATTGATAAAATTTGTTAAAGATAACATTAAATATTTTGCAATTAAATTAGATTCTATAATATTGTATTTATTTATTATCATTAACGATTAATTCTTTGCTTTATAAACTAATGGGAAGAAATAATATTCTTCCATAAACGCATACGTATCACTAATTTGGTGTACAATTAATCCAAGTTATTAATCAATAAAACTAATGAAATAATCACAACTCAATTTATTCAAGATTTTCATCTGGGAAATACAATATAGTTCTTGTAGTAGTAGTATTCGATGTGAATCTACAGTTTATTTTTTTACTGCATATATTCAGATAATTATCATATAGCACGCACAGATAGTGTTTAAGGCAAGACCAGATGATCTTGAATGGAAACATGAATATATGTTCACGGAAAATGTTATATCAAAATCAAAAATGTATAAAAATATATAAAGCATTAATATCACTTTGATTATTTATCAATCACAATGTATAAATGTAATAAAATTATTCTACTGGGATGACAAGAGTTTTATTTCATTTTTTTGTTTTTTTTTTTGTAGAGTGAACTAATGAAATCCACCTTACAGTGATGGGACATCGAAATTATTTCAGTGTGAAAAATATTACCAAAGAGATCCGAATCCTTATTAAGACATGATAGTGCTTTTGCTTTGCGAATAATACTTTCTTAATATTTAAAGAAGTATTATAAATATCCATCATTAATAAACATCAAAAATCCAGTTTCTTAGCCTAAAGAAATAAAATATTCCAAAGTTTGTTTCGGAACGGTAATATCATTAATTGAGTAGGAAACCTTAATAGTGGTCCTTCAAACCTGAAATACAATTCATCATCTAATAAATCAACACCAATTATTTGACCATATAACAAAATAAAACCAAAAGCATAAATAATTATGAAACATAAAAAAGTAATGCATATATATGTATTAAGATCCTGCTAATTGCACAATGACTGTAAAAGATATTGATCTTGGAAGTGGAAATTAACTATTTATATTTTAATTAACCAATTATAACTGATTAATTTAACTAGTTTAACTGTTTAATTTATAATTAATTGATTAAAAAGTTAACTGATTAATAATCAGTCAGGTAACTAAATTAAATTTGTCAGAATGATTTATTTTTAATATTGTTATTTTCAAAAAAAAAAAAAAATTAGATTTAACCCTTTATCTCAATAGTAATATATCTTGTTTTCCAATAAATTTTTTACTTTTCACTTACGAGATTTTAGAATACACTGTTTCCTTTTAATATCTTGAATGTTATCTTTTTTTTTTTAATATTTTGGTATTAAATTTTCATGAACAGTTGTTTATTAAGAAGAATAAAAATAATAAAAGAATATATTTTTTATCAATATTTTATACAGATGTTTATTAGTAATAATTTTTAGAAATGCTATTTATTGATTTTTTTTTTTTAATTGGAATTATAATTTAATAAATTCAGAAGTAATAAAAATACAATAATTGTACATTACTAAATAACATTAACATCAAGTTGTTCTTGTTGCTTGCGTAATTCTGTTATGGGGATAATAGTAGTAGTGATATGTTTTGTATTGGTTAATTCATTGTTTGTGGATATTTTTATAACATTAGTAATTTCCGGATTTGTTGTTTCGGTATTTGTATTGTTTGTTGGTTGTGTTGGTGTGTTATTCAATGTATCTTCATCGTCATCACCTTCTTCAATAAAAGCTCTTCTACTCACATGACTTTAAAAAATAATAATGATTAAATTATATAAAAAACAACAAATCTAATAAATAAAACAATTATTCCAATAACTTAATAAAAATAATTATTAAGTAATTTACCTTCGTGTCATAGGTCGACAAAGTATCCATAAGCAATTTCTATAAATATTTCTATAATCAAAAGGATTTCTATTCCTTCGTGCCAAAGGTACTCGAATCTGAAAATCAAAGAATCACAAAAAAAAAAAAATTTAAAAAAAATTTAAAAAAGAATTATAGAAAAATTTTATATAACATTACCTGCTCATGGGTGGTAAGATTTTTGCTTATCAAATATATGTGATAACCTGTCAATCCTCCGACAGACCACATTAGAAAAAATGACAATATTAATAATACAAAAGTATATTTTACAATTAAGATTAAATATAAAAAATAAATGTTATTGTTATTTGAAAATTTTTTTAAAAAAAGGATATCTGACAGGTGCATCCATTATCGATGATATAAAATTAATATTTTTTTCCTTCATCAACAGAAACAAATGTGTTAAGCAAGATCCCAAAATGTAAAAACATAAGATGGTAGCTGTAGCAATAAAAGTAAAAAATGATCTATAATTTCTTTTCCCAATGCAATTGTTTAACCAGATACAATGATGATCTTCATTTTCTATAATAAATAAAATAAAATTAATAATAAATAAAAATAATAATAATAAATAATAAATAAAAAATAAAAAATAATAATAAATAAAAATAATAATAAATGAAAATAATAATAAATGAAAATAAAAATAATAATAAATAAAATAAAAATAACAATAAATAAAAATAATAATAAAAATAATAATAAAATAAAAATAAAAATAATAATAAATAAACTAATTATAATAATAAATAAAAATAATAATTATAATAAATAAAAATGGTTGAATAAATTCTACAAATAAAACTGTAAAAATTATAAAGAAATTAATCATTTACCAACACAATTATCACATTGCCTACAATGACTACATCTTGGAGGTCTGTATATTTTACAAGATTCACAATATTTTAGTCTAACTGTTTGTCCATTAATCTTTACTTCTTTTGGAAGTGGAACACCATGTGATGAATAATATATATTATTATTATTGGTATTATTTGCATTGTTTTCAGGATCTTCCGGATCTTCTATTGGAGGAGATGGATCCAGGTTACGTGAAATAATCTACTAGATAATTTAAAAATCAATGATACATTACAATTATATATTTATATTCCCTTTTTTTTAAAAAAAAAAAAGTTCAAAAACATTTGAATTATATAGAACTTTACCCCTGGATCAGACCATGATGTTTTAAGCATATTAGTTGCTGCTAATAAAAATAAATATACAAAAACAAAGACCAAGGCAGGTGAAACATTATGGAATAAATATGGACATCTATGCAAAAAAAAAAAAAAAACAAGAAACAAAAAATGTAATCAACAAGAATTCATAATACAGTATCATAATAAGATTAGCTAATAAAGAAAACTAAATACACTAAAGAATACAAACGTAAATCCCATAAAAAGTCCAGATGGTATTATAAGTGTAGAGAATGCAACTAAAAATGCAGGAAAATCTCTGCTGGTCATTACTCTTCCACCTAAAAAAAATCGATTTCTTCCAGGCCAATTTTGATAAAGACGTTTGCGTCCCCTCTTATTATTATCATTAGCATGGTGCATGGATGTTGGTTGTGGAATAATTCGTGGCATGTATTTTACAGCAGATGCATATGAATTTGCGTTAAAGTTGGTATATTTCGTAGGTGCACTTGAATATGATTTTGATGTTATTATGTTAAGTTTCGTGTTAGATGATATATTTTCTGAATATTTTGAAAATGCAAAATCCCGCGATATCAAATTAGAACCATTATTTTGATGATAATACGTTGATTCTGAAACTTGTGCAATAGGTTCCAGGACAGAATCAATAGAATTCTGTGTTAACTCATCGTTTCCACTTGGTTGACGATATAATCGTCGAAGAAGAAGCGCGCTGGTAGGTCGGCTGGGTTCCAAAGTCCTGCTTGGTACACCTTGCGATAACTCTGGACTAAATAGAGTGTCAAGTGTTTGATCAAGAGATTGGTTAGGTGGAATTGAGATCGATGAACGAGTATTTGAAGGTTGGTGTAAAAGAGAAACTTCTTCAGATTGAATGTTAGAAAATGTAGAAGTGAGTGTAGTTTTATTTGTTGCTTGATATGTAGGTGGAGGAGGATTTGGTGAACTGGTGGACTTTCGTCTTGCGGTTTGTGAAATAGGCTTTCTTGGAGCAAAAAATTGTTTTGAAGGTAATATGCCTGAGGCATGGCGTGACGCCCGCGCCTGGTTATTCATCAATTAACAAAATATCAGGATTAAAACGAGAAATGATATTTAAAGAAAGTACTTTAATTTAATTAAAGTAACATTCCACCAATTATATCACGTGGTAATTCTTTTTATATAAATGATATATATTATATGATATGCTAATTCTCTCGATTTATTCATTTATTTATTTTTTTAAAATATGTTAATTTTTTTAACGTGAATTAATTCGAAAAATCCATTTTTGACAAATGATGAATACCTTGCGGGTGCCAAAATACAGGCAAAAAACCCTTGTGGCGCGTCCCATAATGCCTGAATTGAATTCATACTCTATTTATACAATAAATTTTATCAGAAATTAAAGTATATGAATTTATTCAAAAATATTGTATTGAAGTAAAAAAATATATAGAAAATTAAAACTATTTATAGAAGATTAAGTATATTTAATACTTAGAATTCACAAATGTCATCATCCAAATAAAAATATAGAAATAAATAAATCAATATAATTAATTACAAAAATAAATAAAATATGATATATAATTGAAGAGTCTTGATTTAGCAACCAAAAAAAATTACAATATATAATTGATATTTACTAGTATATCTATATGTTCATTCAATTCTTCAAGTTCTTTTCAAAATTTGATTCATTTATTGGTTTTGGAAGATTTCGAATAAATTGCTTGTGGATGTGTTTTATAATTAAATGAAGTTTTATCAGTTGATGTTTGATTTGTTGAAAAAATTTTCAAAATTTTCAACCTTTTTAATTTGAATTGTAATTTCAGAATCATATTTATCTCGATGATCATCACTTTCAACTTTTATTGTAATTTCAGGATTATATTTATATTCAACTTTTTTAATTTGAATTGTAATTTCATTTTTATATTTACAATAATCATTACGATGAGTAACTCGAGCATCCCAAACATCACATAATCATTCTTGTAATTAACTTTGGAGTATGGAATGGAATTTTTGGTCGTAATCCATTACACATTCTCATCATCATGTAGTATATCGGGATACATCCAATAATTATTTCATAAATTATTATCGCAAATGAATAAACATATCAGCAGCCTTTGAATATTCTTCATTCCCACTTAATACTTCAGGTGCTATACACGGTAATACACCAAATATATATATATTTTTCTTATTGGAATTTTCTATTTTTTATCCTATTAGCTTACTTAATCCAAAATCTGAAATATATGTAGATTTATTATTTAATAAAAATAGGATAAAAATCCTGATGAATTATATCTAATTTATGAATCTGTAAATTTTTTTTTTTTGTTATTTCTTTTAAATAAATTAATTTATCAAACCAATCGATATTATTAAAATTTTCATTTAAATAAATTCTAAGGTTTCCATCTTTTAGATAGCATAAAATCATCATATATTTGTGAATATTTGGGTCTTTTGTTATTTCATAAAATCTAATTGAACGAATGTCATCTATATCCATAATTTTCAAGTGAATTAATATATATTATATTAATTTAAAATACTACTAGAATTCTTCATTTATATCTGAAATGCCATCAAACTTTTTTTTAATATCTTCCATTGTTGATTTTTAATATCCCAAAAAATAAATTGGTCCATCAATCCATTTAGCATAATAAATAATATTAAAACCACCTTTTGCTATTTCTTTAATTTCTTTAAATCTATCCATTCAATTACTTTTAATTTATAATCTACATTTAATTGAGCATTCCTGAATAAATTTATCAATCGTGTCATTTCCGCTTGACCATTTATCAAAACAATTTTTGAAATGCTTTGAGTACCACGCTTAACCACCTTTCATTTTCTTGTTGACATTCCCTACATAAAATCATTTTGGTTAGACAATTTTTTGAAATAGAAGATTTTTTTTAAGGAAATGAAATTGCGCGTTCGAACTTTTTGTCACACGAATTGAACACGCATGTCTACTTTACCCCCTTTAAACCCCTTTACACGTGATATTGGACTTTTTTTTTTTTTTTATCTTAAGACTATGATAAATATTATTTTAGTTAGTAATGAATAAAACTAATGAAGGGTATGAATGGTAGCCTTTTAAATTTGAAAAGAATACCATTCTATTTAAAAACTACCTATAAATTTTTATAAATTTCTTTAAAATTAGTATAACATTCGTATATATCGTCTAGAAACAAACATATAATATAAGTTCCAATTTTAAGTTTTGCAAAATGGCTTCTGAACGGACAACTGGTTCAAAAATCCGGGAACCTAACACTGTAGCTCCTATGCGCGATCTCACAAAGTTTTCAGCAGTGGCAGAACTTAGACGTTTATATAGTATGTCCGAAAAAAAAGACCTCTCAGATTTACAAATTCCTACTATAACGGAAAATGCTGAAGATGTTACTGGTAAGTGTTGGGATTCGAATCAAATCCAATAGAAGAATTTCAAATTAAACTTATAATTTACTAATTAATTGCGTAACTTTAAAACGGACGCGAAAATTTAATAGTTAATTTAGCCCTATTATTTGAGTAAATTTTATTATTCATTTTTATTATTTTTTTGAAAGCGTTAACATAAATCCATATCTTCGTTGGCATTAACTACCAAATTTTCAATAGGCTTAAAAGGTCGTATTCGACTTAGGAAGACAGGAGAACGCCAAAATTCTCGAAATTGGGCAGATCAACAAAGAAAAAACATTCAAGCTTATGAGTATTTATGTCATATTGGAGAAGCCAAAGAGTAAGTTTTTTTTTTTTTTTAAAAAAAAAAAAATTACATGAATAATCAAATAAATTTACTTAAACATATTAATTATATATATATATATATATATATTGTTTTATAAAAATAGATGGATAGAAGCATGTATCGCGGAAGAAATCGATCCAATTGTAATTCTAGAAGAAAGTCTTAGAAATGGAATTGTACTAGCAAAATTGGCGAGATCTTTTAGACCTTCAGTTGTTGGAAAAATTTTTGAGGTATTTATTATGAGTATATTTATCTTTGACAAATTTTTGACAATTCTTGACAATTCTTGACATTTTTTTTAACTATTTAATTATTTATTTCTAGTCACCAAAATTGCAATTTCGACATTCAGTTAATATTAATTTCTTTTTCGACGCAATAAGAGATGTTAGATTACCGAATGTATGTTTTTACTTTGGTTATTTTTATTTATTTAGTTGTATTAGTGTTCTTTAATATTTCATAACGCATTTATTGTGATTTTATTATTATTATTTATTATTATTATATTATTATTATTATTATTATATTCCTATTAGATTTTTCGATTTGAATTAACGGATTTATATGAAAAGAAAAACATTCCAAAAGTTATTTATTGCATACACGCTTTGAGGTAAAAAACTGACTCATATTATTTATTAGTTTTATATTACTTATTAGTATTATTTATAGCATAAATTAAATGCCTGTAAATAATTATATTCAAATTATTTAGTCATTTATTGGCAACCAAAGGACTCACCGTTCGGATTCGAAATTTGGTAGGAAAGTTAGAATTTACAGGTAAGAAAATATAATATTATCATTCCTACATTTTCAACATTTTCTTGATTAATAACATATATATATAATTATATGTATTCTCATTATATATTACTTTTTAGATGAACAGTTGCATACAACGCAAAGAGGTTTAGATGCTTCTAGAGTTGCTATGCCAAGTTTTGCAAATGTTGGTGTAGCATTAGCTGCAGAACTAAAAATGACAGAAATTCCGCAGCAGATCAAACCTATCATGGAAATATTTGAACCTGTCATGAAAGTAGCAGTGATAGAAGAGTCGGAAGAAGAAAGTATGAATAAAATTTTTATATATGTTTGCTTTAAATATTATGAATATTTTACAAATAAGTTGTCTAACCATTGTCCAATCAATTTTATGTAGGAAATGCCAAATATTGGGCAGAAAATAATGAATCTCTTAAAAAATGTCAATCTATTGCAAGGACTAAACTCGCAAGAAAAAGATTATTAGAACGTAGAGCTGTACATATGTCTGTAATACCTTTCATAATTAAATTACAAGCTCAATCTAGAGGTTGGTTAGTAAAAACAGAATGGAATCGACGTTTAGATCGAATGAAAAAGTTAGAAAGATGGGCTATCCAGGTAAAATATTTTTAGACTTATATGAATAATCTCTGCTAAAACGCTCTCTTGGTTTCTTTTATAAGATGATTAATCTTTCTTATGATTATTTAATAGTTACAAGCTCTTATCCGTGCAAAATTGGCACGCAATAGATTTCGTGATCGGCAAGATTATTTTCAACGAAATATTGATAAAGTTATTAAAATTCAAAGCATATATCGTGCTAAACATGATGGAGATGCTTATCGAAGTTTAAGTAAGTTGATTTTAGTTGACATTGTTTGACGTTAGTTCACAGTTGACATTGTTTGACATTAGTTGATGTTAGTTTTTGTGAGATTGTTTCATCTCATATTTAATTAAAAATTTCCCCCTTCTTATTATAAAAGCCTTAGGAAATAATCCGCCAGTAGGAACTATTAAGAATTTCATACATTTATTGGATGATAGTGATTTTGACTTTGAAGAAGAAATCGGTACAGTTAACTTTCTTCTTTTCATCAAGATTCACATTAAATGTAATAACTTAATTGTTAAAAAAAATAATAATAATTTCTGAATTTTTATAATTTAGAATTGGAACGCTTAAGACAAGCTGTTATTCAAAAAATTCGTGAAAATAATCAAATGGAAGATCATTTAAACCAACTTGATATTAAAATCGCTTTGCTTATTAAAAATAAAATTACTTTGGATGAGGTTATTGCTGTTGCCAATCGGAAGAAACGAGGCAAAAGACTCTCGCAACTTAATTCTTCACATGGTCCATTCTCATCTTTGGATAAAGAATCACGTCATAGACTAGAACTTTATCAACAACTTTTTTACCTTTTGCAAACTCAACCATCATATCTTGCAAGACTATTTTTCATAATGAATAAAACGAGATTTCCTGAAAAATCCAAGAAATTAGTTGAGGGGGTTGTATTAACATTATTTGGTTACGCCCAGAATAATAGAGAAGAATATTTGTTACTCAAATTGTTTCAGAAAAGTATGATAGAAGAATTAGAAAATATTGATTCACTTCAAGAATTCTTGAGAGGAAATTTCATGTTTATGAAGTTAGTCGTACATTATAATCGAGGAGCAAAAGAACGAAAATTTTTACGTGATTTACTTGGTCCATTAGTGAAACAAATAATGGCAGATGAAAGTATGGACTTAGAAACAGATCCATTAATTATATATCGATCATTAATTAATGCGGAAGAGTTAAGGACAGGAAAAAGATCCAATAAACCGATGGATATAACACAAGTCGAAGCTCTTAATGATCCACAAACTAGAACCGCATTTATTCATCATTTACAGAAACTTCGTAAAGAGACAGAAACATTCTTGGTAGAAATTGTAAATTCACTCAATAAAATGCCTTTTGGAATACGTTATATTGCCCGAGAATTAAAGAATTCTTTAATGACAAAGTTTAGTAATGAAACTGAAGACTCGGTATTAAAAGTGGTTGGGCATTTGATTTATTATCGATATTTGAATCCTGCTATTGTGTAAGTATTACATTTTATCATATTTTTCAGTATGACACTGTCCACATCGTCCAGATAAATATTAACATAATCCCATATATTATAATAAATTAGTGCACCAGAAGGATTCGATGTCATTGAGAATATTGTTAGTCCGATGCAACGTAAAAATTTGGCTGAGGTTTGTTTTCAATTATTTTTTTTTTCAATTCTTTTCTTTTTGTCATATTATTTAAATATAATAATTAAAATATATAAATATATATATATATATGTATTATTAAAATAACTAAAAATTATCATAGATATCGAAAATGTTGAATCAAATATCAGTAGGAAAATTATTTACTGAAGAGAATGTTTATTTACAACCATTAAATGAATATGTGGCATATGCAACTGATAGATTTTCAAAATTCTTTAAAGCTGGTAAATACATTTCTTAAATTTCTTAAAAAATATATATTTAGAACTAATCCAAAAAATTATTTGTTGATGAATACTTTGAATACTTTAAAAAAAATTTTTTTTTTTTATATCAGTCACGGAAGTTAGTGATGCCGAAACTTATTTCGAAATTGGAGAATTCAGAGATCTCACCCGAACCCGAAATCCCATAATATATATTTCACCATTTGAAATATTTTCCACTCACGAATTATTATTTCAACGAATAGAATATATAGCTCCTCAACCTAATGATGTATTGAGACAAATATTTCAAGATATTGGTGAAGCACCTCATCTTGATGATATATCAAGTGATGCAAATACCAAAGAAATTGCTTTAACTTTAACTAGTCGCTTTGCTCTTGATGCAATTAAAAATGATCCGGAAACAGAAATAAAACATTTATTTGTGGAAACAAAACGTATGGTTTTATTATTAATGAGAGTTCAAACTGGTGCCAATCTTTTGGAAATTCTTTCAAAAAATATAACCCCTCAAGATGAAGAAAAGTATGCGGAAATATGTAATAAAGATCGAGAAAATAAAAAAAGTAATATTAATTCAAGTAATAATGGTAATAGTAATAGTGGTAATAGTAATAGTGGTAATAATAATAGTGGTAATAGTAATAGTGGATTATATGACCTTAGTAATATGAAATTTTTTACTCTAAAGAAATTGACATTAGAGAATATTATGAAATTAGAGAAAGAAAGGAAAATAACTAGAGAAAATAATTATCAAGATTTGTTGAATGCAATTGCAACTGATATAAGGAATAAACGAAAGAGAAGAGCACAAAGACAGAAAGAATTAAGACAATTAAAACAGACATTAATTAATTTAAATGAAAAAGGATCACATTTAGATGAACAAATTAAAACATATAATGTTCATATTGATGTTTGTATGCAACAATTGTCTACTAAGAAAGGGTAAATATAAATTTATTATTAAAGAAATAATTTTTTTTTTTTAATAACCAAAAGTTCCTATTTAATAATTAATAATTTTAATCTCTGTTTAGTAAAAAACATCGCTTAGTTTTACCATTCACTCGTCAATACTTTCACATTCGCGAACTACAACGAGTAGGAAAGGTTCCGAAATTCGGATCATTTAAATATACTGCACAAAAACTTCACGATAAAGGAGTATTAATTTCAATAAGTGGTTACCCAACTTTTGATAGGATTAGTTTCACCATATCATCAGATGAAGTTGGTATATTCACCATTGATGCGTCATATGTCGGAGTTCCAGTTCCGGGAGCACAAATGGAATTAAGATTGGAGGATTTATTACAAAGTCAATTTAATAATGTTCAAACGATGACTATATTTGATGGTGTGGCAAGAGTTAATGTTAATTTATTAATATTTTTAATTAACAAAAAGTTTTTTGTTTAAAAAAAAAACCCGACACTAAATCGACACTAAATCGATACTAAGGAATTGTATATTATGTACATTTATTTATTTATTATAGTATTTAGTTTTTACTTATTTATTTATTTATTATTTATTTTTTTATAATTTTTTTATTTACATGATATTTTCTAATTTGTTCCCGATTTCTTTATTAACTAATTAACAACATTCAATTAAGTTGTAATAAGTTGTACATGTATAAGTACAAAAATACATTATTCTAGCTATTATTCTAGCTATTATTCTATTAGTTAAAAGATGAAATCACAAAGTGATGATTATTGCAATTATATTAATTATATTGCTTTGGTAAACATTCATGTGATGTTATGTGAAATTTAAATTATCTATTAACTAAAATTTTTGTTGCGTTGAAATTAAAATTCTCTCCATTCTCGTTCTCTTTGATCTCGAATGATTGATTGTGTTGGACACGAAGCAATACGGATCAAATACTGTAATGGCTAATATCGACCAAACTAACTGACAATAAGGTCGAATTGTTCATTATTTCCAGTATATAAATATTATCCAGAAAAATCTCTTGATCCACATAAAATATGAGAAAAATGGATTATTTAACTTTTCGTTATATTATCTTCAGTATCGCTCGATGATTCAAGAAAATTTTCTAATGCATCCCTATCTTCTTCTGTTTCAAGTTCAAGTTTTTCTAATTTTTCTAGTACTTCACCAACATCATCCGACACATCTATTGTATTATGTTCTGTCAAATGGAATTTTTAACGGAATTTTATCAACAGAATTTGTTAATGGAATTTTTTTTTTTTTTTGTAAATATATGAATAAATAATAATTATAAATTAAGAAAATTATCAAAAATCTCGCACCATCAAATGATTGAATATCATTAATTTTTCTATTACGATAATTATCCATTTGAATTTCGAAATTGGTTTGATATATTTTTGCCTTTTGGACTTTATGATTATCCATGAATTCTTCAAGATGTTGATTATAAAGAATTCTTTTTTCCTCTAATTCTTTACTAATAATTAATGATAGAAAAAATTGATTAAAAATTCAAATTAATTAATATTCAATCATATCCTTAATATCTTACTTTTTTTCTTCCACATATTGATCAAATGCAATAATTTGAGTTTGCTTCCATTGTTCAAAGGATTTTACTTCATTATTTTTAACATATTCGTCAATAATTTTTTCTAATTCTATCAATTCTTCTTTTAATGAAACTAATAAAATAATGAATAATGAATAAAAAATATAATGAATAAAAAAACATAATGAATAAAAAATATAATGAATAAAAAAAAAAAATAAATAATGAATAAAATAGTGAATAAAATATATACACAAATGAGGAACTAATATTACTTGCAGAATTAGTAGTTTCTTCTATCATTTCTTTTATTTTTGGTAATTGGTTAGCTTCAGATTTGATCATTTCACATGTTTCAAAATGATCTTTACATGTTTCGAATATTTGTTGAATTAATCCATCTGCAACCTAAATATATATATATATATATATATTTTAAATTTTATTATTATCAATAACCAATAAATAATCAATAATATATAATCAGTCACGATAGAACTTACTGTTGCATTTTGAAAATTTCTTTTGTTTTCATCTCTTATAGAATTCCATTCATTCTCGTATCTGAGAACAAATTAAGCATTATATAAGAATTGAATCGATGTTTGTATTGTCCTAAATTAAATACAGTTATCATTACCTTGTAGCTAATTCGATTGTAGCCGATAAATTTAGTTGAAGTGGGGAACGAGGTTTATTACTACTATTACTGTATAATGTGTATCAGAAAAATGATATGTGATATAGTTGATTAATAAATGTGAAAAATAAATAAGAAGTAATTAAGGAATGACTGAGAAAAAAAATTAAGGATAATGAAGAAATAATACCTAGTTGTCAGTGAAAGTGTATTAAGTCTTGGGCTAAACCCTGGTGTCAGAATTTCAACAGATTTAGAACGAAAATTTTCCCATTCGTTCTTAACAACCTGTAACCTTTAATGAGATTAATAAATTATTAGTAATTAAAAAATTATTCAGGTTTTCAAATAAATTCTAAATTCTCACCCTTCTCTAGTAATATTTTTGAAATCTTCTTCCTTGATCCTATCAATGAAGTAATTCATTAATAAAGAATGTGAATACAAATTACAAAATAACATAAAAAAAAAAACTTTCCAAAGAAAAGTTTCTGTTTATACCCAGTAGTGTCTATTAAATCTTTTAAGTTGAAAGTTGAAGAAAACTTTTTAAATTGTTGAAACATTTTTGCTGCATTCTGTGGAAATTAAACCAACACACAGTAAACTTCATATCAATTTATATCAATTTATATCAATTGTCACAATTATTATATATTATCAACAGTAGATCGATAAATTCTTTATCCAATCGGAGAATTTTATGGTAAAGAAAATAAATCAATCCCAAAAACCAAATCTTTAAATTCTCCTCTTTTCACATCCCTTTGATAAATCATGGTAAATTTAAAATTATTTTATTATCAATTTCATCCATTGAAGTTTTCATTTAAAAAAGAATATTACAGTTATACTTGAAATTTGAATTATTTGATCCTTTAAGTAAAAAATCAATAACATTGGGGAATTTATAATCACGCGGCAATGAAACGTTAAATACAAAGACAAGAGAAACCTTCTTTTAAAAAAAAAAAAATTTTGTAATCGACATCCACAGTATAATTATAATAATTTATTCAGATGGATGCTTCAATACACGAGGAAGAATAAAAAAAAAAAATAAATAGATAAATAAATAAATAAATTAGAAGCAAACAGTATCCCGGAGTCTCTTCTATTTTAATTAAATACTTTTATTAAATATTTTTTGATCCATATACTTACTTTTATATATATAGACAAAGGGTACTTCAAGTTTCGGTAAACGTCATACAAAGACACACACTTTATGCCGTCGTTGCGGTAGTCGTGCTTTTCATAATCAAAAAAAAAAATGTGCTCAGTGTGGTTATCCTTCCGCAAAAACCAGAAGCTGTGAGTAATTATAAAATTATAAATTTATTTATATTTATAATTTAAAATTGTGATTTATTAAAATTAAATCTTTATTATAATAATAATAATAATCAATATAATCAATATAATCAAATATGATTATTTTAATTAATTTTTTTTTTAGATAACTGGAGCGAAAAAGGAAAACGCAGAAAAACTACTGGAACTGGTCGTATGCGTTATTTAAAACATTTACCTCGGCGTTTTAAAAATGGCTTTCGTGAGGGTAATTATCATTAAATACATTGTTATTTTTTTTAAAAAAAGAAAAAAAAATTCTTATATTTTGAATGAATGAATTTGTACTTATTTTCAACTTGACTTTAGGAACTGTGGCCAAAAAACGAGCAGCTCCAGCTGCTGTGACCGAATAAAAAGTACCAAAAAAAAAAAAAAAAAGAAAACATTGACAAGAATATGACATAGAGATGATATTTTAATTTTTAGCTGGATATCTTTATTTCTTTATAAATGTAATAATAACATTTTGTTTAATAAATGAAGTCATTCTTCTTTGATTGATTGATTTAATACAGAAATAATTTTTATACTGTAAATTGAGCTATATCAACAGTTGATTATATAATAATAAATATTTTTTCATATCAATTTATCAATTTGGCTGGCTGAAACTTTCGTAATTCTGGTCAAATTTATAATGTTGACCTAAAATCAATTAAATCTAAAAAAATATGTAACGGTAATATTGATAAAATAAAAGTCATCTGATTACACAATAATTTAATGTAATATTCTCGTCATTATAATAGCATAATTTTGGATTTTTAAAACCAAGTCTGTAAAAAATTATAGCTTGTTTGAATTCTTCTCATCGAGAGGAATCAAATGGTAATAGTTTTATATTAATTGGATTGGTATTGACCTAGATATTCTAATTTAAAACAATTTTAAAGCTTTTTTAATATCTCAGAAGTCAGCTAAATAAATTTAGTAATTCGAAATAAAATTAGATATGCGAGATATGCGAAACCGATTTGCTGCATAAACTTTGGATATTCTGAAATTTTTTCTATTTTTACTTTGGATCAGTTTCACAAAGTAAGGGCTCATGGCCAAATGGATAAGGCGCCTGACTACGAATCAGGAGATTCCAGGTTCGACCCCTGGTGAGCTCGTTTATGTTTTAGTCGTTTCACTTCTTTTTCTTTCTTTTTTTTTTTTTTTTGTCATATACCATATTTGATCTGATTTTCTTTAAAAATAGCAAAAAAAAAAAATAATAATAATAATTATGATTATAAAAATGTCGCGAAACATTTTTCCGCTAACTAATTCTTATTTCAAATTATTTTCCTTTTCCCGTCAACAACACTCACTTTATCCAAAAACTTTTAGATCATTTTCTATAACTTTATTAAATCATCAATCGAAATTCTTTTGTTATTATTATTCACGACAACCTAATAATTCTATAAAATCTCTGTTGAATGATCATGTTATTTCATCAAAATATTCTACAACAACAACAATTTCTTCTTCAAAGGGAAAAACCGAAATTGAACCAAATGTAATTTATAAAGGTCCATTGGCACAAACTTGCCGAAGATTAAAATTATTTTCGATAGGGTCTTTATTAAGTACGATAGCAATTACACCTTTTATTTTCTTTTTGGATAGTGCATTGAATAATAAGGCTTTATCCTTGGTAGCATTTATTTGTAAGTTTCCCTAAAAGGAAGGAAAGAATGTAAATATATTTTTTTTTCTCATTATTTTGTCGAATTTCATCTTTTTTTTTTTTTTTTTTTCCTTTCAAAGTGATATCAACAAGTGCTTCATCAACAAGCCTTATTCATTGGTTTTTATCACCATACGTCACCAAAATTTTTAAAATTCCTTCTACTACCACTACTTCTCCTCCTGAAGATCATAAAAATATTGATAATGATGGTAAATCATCTTTAAAGATTACACCTGATACTTTCCTAACTTTCGAAACACTCACGTTATTTAGCACACCAAAATTCACCACTTTGCAAGTTAAATCTTTGGAACCTTCCACAAGAGTATTAACAACTTGGAAAATTAAAAATAATTATGAAAAGGATTTAAGTGCTGTCACGAAGTCGGGTAAAAAAACAAAACCCAAGAAATTATTTTATGTTAATACAGAATTATATGAAAATTCAGAATTTCAAGATGTAATAAAGCACATTCGATAAAAAATTTTATTATTATTATTATTATTTTTATTTTTATTATTTTTACAAATTAATATCAAAAAAAAAAAAAATAAATAAATGACAATTTGTCATATTTGTCATGTGTAATGATACATGACATTATTAATTATAAAATTCATATTTTAAAAAAAAGATTTCATTGCGAGAATTCACTAAAGAAAAATATATCAAAAATAATAATCTAATTTTTTTTTATTATTAATAAAACAAATATAAGAGTATAAGATAATAAGAAAATAAACTTGAATTTTTTTTTTTTTATGTGATAACAAAAAAAAAGTAATTGAAATGAAAATAAAATTACAGTTGAATGATAATAAAAATATCAATTGGATTAAACAAATCATATAATAATAATAAAATGTTGAGAAAATAAATATATATATATATATATATAAATATAAATATAAATATATATATAAATAGAATAAATTGTTGATATACAGTCTAAAAAATATATATATGATTATTATTATAATAATTAATTGTCCATTGATGATGATATGAAAAAACACGGAGAAAAGATGCAATAAAGAAGAAATGATGCAAGGTATAATCGATATATGATTGGATATGAGTGGATATAAATTTGATAATAATAATTGGATATAATTGGTATAATTGGTTATATAATCGGATATAATTGGGTAAATCGGTTATACATGACCATAATGTTAAAAAAATATTTAAAATATTCACCACTAATTCATTGTTCGCTCATTCTAATTTTTTTTTTGGTTTTTTTTTTATGGTTTTGTTTTTTTTTTGTGATTTGTTTTTTTTTTCTGTTTTGTTTTGTTTTATTTATTTTTTTTTTTTTGAATTGAATTGGTATATAAATTGTTCTCCCTACTGTGATCTACTATGAATCTACTGTGATCGCTTAATAATATACCGATCGTCAATTCATATTAAAGCAACTTAAATAAAATGAATATATATATATATAATTTTTTTTATGTCAAAATTCTTACTCATTATTCTTACTACTCAACCTTTATTTGATCATCATAAGCACACACATTTAGCCCTCTTTCGACTCATTTCTCCCTCCTTGTTGTTATCTTTTCGTGTTTTGATTCTTGTCATTAAATCATGATAGACTTCATCTACATTCTGTCGTGTCTTGGCTGATGTTTCATAATATGGGCAATGCCATTCACGTGCCCTGCTCAACGCCTCATCTTTGGGGACTTTGCGTACATGTTCTAAATCTACTTTATTACCAACAAGAATAAATGGAATCTAATAAAAATAATATAATTTTTAAAATAATTAATAATTTAATAATTTAATAATTTAAAATAAATTTAATAATTTAATAATTTAATAATTTAATTGATCCTTATTAGAAGCACATTCTAAACACATATTGAATAAAAAGGTAAAATATCAATATTAACTTACGCTTTCATCATCAAGTACTCTTAGAATTTGATCTCGAAAATCTTGTGTGTGCGCGAATGATTCATATTCACAAATAGAAAAAACGCAAATAAATCCTTCTCCTGAACGATAATAATTATCGCGAATCTATTAGGAATTAAAAATTATTATTGTCAAGAAATAAATTTTGATTGCATAAAAAAATTATGGAATTTATGGAATTGCATTCTTTTTATTATTATTATTATTATTTAATTGATTTACAATAAAAAAAAATGTTATATTGATTAAAAAAAAAAAGGGGAATTAAAAAAGATAAAAAGATAGATAATATAAGGATACAGCAGCATATTCTTCCTGTCCAGCAGTATCTAGAATATCAATTTGACATTCTTGTCCATCTAAAGAAACTTTCTTACGATAAGAATCTGCTTTCGTTGGGTCGTATTCTTCAACAAAGTCACCATACATATATTGTAAAGTCAAAGCCGATTTACCAACACCACCTGAACCGACCATAATAACTTTGTGAAGTGGGAGATCTTGTTTTTTGGTTTTGGCCATTGTTGTAATGTTATTAGATGTTTTAAACTAGAATTTTGTTAATCTAAGTAAAAGCCAAGAAAAGTATCAAATATATATATATATATATCAATATAGTGAAGTATAAAGTGATAAAAGAAAAAAAAAATGAGTGAAAAAAAAAGGGTGAGTGAAGGGAGAAATAAGAAAAAAAAAAAATTATTTTATGGTATTTTTAATGGACAAAGAAGGAACCAAATATAAAGGAGTCACAGTTGAAATAATAAGGTCGAAGAACGGGAAGAACGGGAAGAACGGAAAGAAGGGTTAAAAAGATTTGGTCCCAATAATTCGTTCTGTGAGATACTATGTACGAGTATGGTTAGGAACAACAAAAAAAAAATTGAGGGAGTTACAGAATAATGAAGAAATAAGGAACATACAATACATTTAACTGTATGCAAATATTAAAAACGAAAATGCGTCTTTGTGGATTTGACACAAATTAAAGAGTAACAAATGGTTGTTAAATTATACAAATTATACATTAATTGGTTCATACAATTCGTTGCACGTGAGTATTTTCCTTAATGGATTGTAGAATATACATTTATTTCTAATTATAGTAAGAAAATGGTTTACTAATATTAGTAAAATAAGAAATAAAATATCTATTATTTTTATTATTGTATCAATAATAAACCTTGCTCATATTACGCATTCTATAAATACTTGTAAAATCTAATAAGGACATCAAATATATTATTAAATAATTGAATAAAGTAACCAAAATTATAATCTATGATCTTTATGCTAATAATAAATGTTTAATTTTAATGCATTGTCTTTGGATCATCTTTTGATGCTGGAAAGATGATGATTTAGGAATATCTTAGTAGAAAATTACTCTCGCGTTGCATAAAATCAAAAAATATAAGCTTATACAAAGCTTTAATTTTGATTTTATACATTTTTATACATTTTATACAGTAATTTTAAATAATTTAAACCAATCTGTCAAATCTGTATATAAAGTAAAATTTCTTACTTAAAATTTAAATTTAAATAACAACGAATATTAAATTTATTAAATTAAAATATTTCTATACTTATTCGATGCAGTGTTTGAAATTCAAAATTTTCTATAATTCTATATACAAAAATTTGTGCGTAACATTTGATGACGTCATAAGAATCAGATAAAAATTCGATTTTTTTTTTTTTTTTTTTTTTTTTTTTTTAGTAAGTTGACAAGATGTCTGAACAAGTGTGTATTAGGATCGTTAATAAACTTTAAGACTTTCAATTTTTTTTTTTTTCCCCCCCCCCCCGGTTATTAATTACGAATTATATTTAAATATCCATTAGATTGAAAAAGCTTTTCAAAAACAAGTTGGCATTTTTCAAAATCCAAAAGCTAACAAAAAAGTCAAACTCAAGAATAATCGATGGTATAAGGATGTAGGTCTCGGTTTTAAAACACCTAAAGAAGCCATTGAAGGTCATTATATAGATAAAAAGTGTCCCTGGGTAAGCCAAGTATCCATCCGTGGTCGTATCTTAACTGGTGTGGTGGTATCTATCAAAATGAAGAGAACTATTATCGTTCGCCGTGAATATTTACATTATATTACAAAGTATAATCGATATGAGAAACGTCATAAAAATATCGCGGCACATCTTTCCCCTTGCTTTATTGGTGTTCAGGTATTTTTTTTTTTAAATCAAAAATAATTAAATTATCGATTTTTGATTTGGATGGATCATTTGAAAACTTACGATCCTTATTTTTATTTTTGATTTTTTATTTTTTACGATAGCCCGGTGATAGCGTAACTGTAGGTCAATGCCGGTAATGATTTTTAAAATTCTATTTTTTTTTTTTTTTAAAGAACTAACTTTTTGATATTTAATATATATATTATTTATATTTAATTTATTTTATTTTGCTTCTTCATTCATAATAATAACAATTAGACCTATTTCCAAAACTGTTCGTTTTAATGTCCTTAAAGTTCAGAAGAAGTCACAAAAAGGACCAAAGCAGTTTGTTAAGTATGTGGAATAAAAAATTATGATTATAGAAATGTTAATTTTTTTAATATTGTTAAATTCTCATTAAAATCATTTTATTTTTATTCATTTTAATAAAATAGGTTTTAATCTTTCAATGTTTAATTAATATAATTAATATGATCTAAGTAATCAATTTTTTGAATGAATTCTTTTTATTAATAACAATACGTTTTAATTATGGTGTAATAAAAATTTGATCGAGTAAAATTTTTAATTTATTAAATTACTTTTACTCAAAAAATGATATTTTTATTTTATATATATATATATATATAACTTTAAATTAAAATATATAATAAAATTGCAACAAAAAAAAATCTGTAGATTATTATTATCGCTTATAAATTTCGTGAAAAAAAAAATTAAAGGATATTTTCATTTTCATTTTTGCACTTGACAAAAAACTTTATTTACTTTATTTTATTTGGATAACTTAATTTACCTACTCTTTGTCGCACGTCACGTGCATGAACAATTTTCAAGGTATATAAATTAGAAAATTTTTTTGTTAGTTTTCGAAAAAAAAACAATGTCTCAGGATACACAAGAAATAAAAGAATTAATAAATTCCACCAAACGAGCATTTTCAGCATTTCAAGAGTTACTAAAAAATTCAGAAAGTAAAAATAATGAAACTTCAGAACCAAAGTTTGTAAAAATATTTTAGATTTTCGCTTTTTGCTGGAAATTAAAATTTATTCAAAAATATGCGCGTATTATTTATTATTAAGTTATTTTTATTTATTTATTTTAGATCGAAAGCTATTAAGCTAACCCATGGACAATCCCCTGGTGATCACGTATCACCCCAAACATTATATCTTCCAAACAACCGAGAAAATTTTATGAAACGACTTGCAACTTTTTCAATATCCTTTGTCCTAACTCAACGATCAATTAAAAAAAAAATCAAATCAATTAAAAATCATTTAATAAAAAATCGAAAATAACTATAAAAAAAAAAATAACCTTAACAAATTTTACTCACGATTTAAATTGGTTTTGTAAACCTGCAAGTTTGAGTCCGGTGGAATGTGCTAAACATGGATGGAAGAATATTGATAATAATAAACTTGGATGTGATCATTGTTCGGAACAAATGGAAGTTAAATTGTCGATCCCTCAATCAAGTAAGAAAAAATAATTCTTTATTTATATTTATTTATTTATTTATTTTTATTTTTATTTTTATTTTTTGTTAGATGGAAATTTGGTGAAACAGTTTCAAGAAAAATTGTTAATTGCACATTCTGTTTCTTGTCCATGGCGTGCACATTCATCTCATGGTATATATTAATTAATTATTCTCGAATATCTCGAATAGACTACAATAGAGTTTTTTATTAATTCTTTTTTTTTTTTTTTAAAAAAAAAAAAAAAAAAAAAAATTCTTTAGATTCAATTTATAAGTTTCCAATTCAAAGGGATCAAATCATTATAGAAGAATTTCGATCACGAGCTTCATCCCTACTAAAACTTGGCAACCAATTACCAATCATTAAGACCAAATTGGTAAAATATTTATATATATATATATATATATATATTTTGTGGGATTTTTTTTTACATACATAATTTTTATTTTTAAAAAAAAAATTTATATTGTTAGACCGATGAATTTATGCAAACTATGAAAGATGCTCTTCAAATAGATTCAAATCAATTTGAACCTTTGGTCATTGCATCTGCTTCATGTTTATCTTTGTTTGGTTGGGAATACGAATCCATTTCAAAATTGGATATTGTAAAATGCAAAATGTGCTTTCGTAATTGTTTATTAGTGAATTTTAAAAGTATTCAGAAAAATCAACAACAAATTCAACATTCACAAAAAGATAATCCGATAGATAATACTACAAATAATACAATAAATAATACAATAAATAATACAATAAATAATGCAATAGGTAATGAAATAGGTAATGATGTAGAGATGAGTGATCAGGTTGTATTTGAGCAGGCTGGTCAGAAAGATAAAGATGAACAAAAAGATAAAGATGAACAAAAGGATAAAGATGAGCAAAATGATTTAGATGAGAAAAATGTTATAGATGAGCAAAAGAGTAAAGATATAGATAAGCAAGAGGATAAAGATGAACAAAAAGATATAAATGAACAAATGGATATACTCGAACAAAAGGATATAGACAATCAAGCCGCACAGGAAGGAGGGGATCAACAAAGTATTGAACACATCGAACGTGTCGAAAGTATGGAAAGTATCGAAAGTATGGAAAGTGTCGAGACAGTTAAAGATTCATCAGAAAAATTAGATGATCCTGAGGAAATTCAGAAATCACAGGAGAATATAGATTCTACAAATACAGAACAGAGTGAACCACCACTCACACGAGAATCTAATGAATCCAATAATGAAAAATTCGATAATAAAGCAGATAAAATAGATAAAATAGATTCTTTAATAGACCAAGGTGATTTGATATTTGATGTTGAAACTCAACATCAGTCGTATTGTGCTTGGATTACTGGTAATGGTCAATTACTGGAAAGTAGAACACAAGAAGAACTTGCTCAAAGAAAACCTGGCTGGTATATTACATTGGAAGCTATTGTGAAATTGACTACACCAATTGAAATAAAAACTTCGTCGGATATTCAAAAAGTGAGAATATGAATTTCTTGAATTTCTTCCTTTTTTTTTTTGATTAAAATATAATTATTAATTTATTTTATCTATTTATTTCATTTATTTATTTATTTAATTAAAAATTCTTTTATAGTCCAAAAATCGGATGAATGATTTCTTCAATATTTTATCATCAAAAGATTCTCAACATTCTCAACATTCTCGGTTTACCTAATGGGTATGCTATTCCCCGATCCAATGATTCCAAAAAAAGAGAGATTTTCAAAAACCTTATTCATTAAAAATTCAATTTCAATTCACTTGATAATATTTTTGATTGGTTCTTTAATCAAGGAATCAAGATAAAATTTCATTTATTAGTTTTTTTTTTCATTTCATTTTGTTATTTTGTAAATGATAATTTTTACATTCTTTTCTCAAATTTTTTTAAAATAAAATAAAAAACTAATCTACATATTTTTCATAAATAATAATAATAAAAATTATCATAATCAAAGTCCATAAATAAAAAAAAAACAAAAAAAAATATAAATAAATAAATATATATCTTTGATATATAAATAAACATTAAAAAATTCAATTCAATTTTATTATTTTTAAAACAAGTTAATAAACTTGTTTCATAGTGAAAAAAAAATGTCTTCTTCTAACACTTCAAATGCTACAACACGTGTAAACACACGGAATCTAGTTGGCTCTTGGAGAAATAATAATATTTCAAATTCAGTAGTAAAAACTTTGGAAGTTGACCAACAACAACAACAACAACCATCACCACCAAATAATATTCAACCCGAAGATTATAACAGTAATAATAATAATAATAGTAGTATTAGTAGTGGTAGTAGTGTAAAAATTGGAAAACCATATCCTTTGACTAATAAGTGGACTTTTTATCATGACAAGTGAGTTATTTGTTCATAATTAAATTAATTGATTAATTAATTAATTAATTAATCAGATTTGAATTGTTTTGAATTGTAATAATGGAATTTTTTAATTTTGATTTTATTGACTAAGAAATAAAAAATTTCCAAATTATATCTAAAAATTATTATTATTATCATTATCATTATTCCAAACATTTGGAAATTGAAGATATGTCCCAAACGCTACACCCGGTAAAAAAAAAAATATAAATCCAAATAAATTGTGATCAATTCATTCATAATAAATAAATCATTGCTGCAATATTATTTTTAAACAAAACCAAATTTTCTACATATCTAGAGGAATATGAAGATAATTTAAAAAGTGTTGCAACAGTTACTACCGTTCAGGTTAGTATGAGATAATATCTCGATAAAAGAATTCTATTTAGAATGGCGCGTTAATTAACGTTACTTATATATATATATATATATATCTGTGTGTATATTTATAGAATTTCTGGGAAGTATATAATAACATTATAGGTCCGGAACAATTACAATTAAGAAGTTCACTTCATTTTATGAAAAATGGTATTCGTCCTGTATGGTATGTGTTTCATCTTTTATTTATCGTCATGTCGACCAATAATAATAATTTCAAATCTTTAAAAATAAATCTTGGATTTTATATATATATTATTATTATTATTATTATTATTTATTAGGGAGGATCCACGTAACGAGAATGGAGGCGCATGGTTTTTTAAAGTTAACAAAACAAATACTGCGGTGGTATGGCGTGAATTACTTATGTTATTGATTGGTGAACAATTTGAAGAGTGCGTTGCTATAGGTAATATATATATATATATATAGTTGTGTTTCTTTTCTTCCCTTAATTAATTTACCAACTTACTTTTGGGAAAATTGATATTTAGATGATGATATCTTTGGTATATCAGTATCTTCAAGATATAATTCAGATATTTTTACTATTTGGAATAAAAATTCAAGTGCGAATGAGAAAGCAACAGTTATTGAAAAATTAAAGGAAACACTAAACCCCATTGAATTACAAAGTCCTTATTATAAAGGTAATCATTTAAATAATTTTATTCTCTCTATATCTCTCTCTCTGACTTTCTCTCTCTCTCCGACCCCCTCTCTCTCCGATTCTCTCTCTCCAATAATTAATAATATTAAAAAATAACTAGCTCATAAAGAACATGCCGCATTCAAAAATAATTATACCCCCACATCACCGAATATTAAAGAACAATAATATTGATAATAAAAAAAAATAGCTGAATATTTCATATTTTAGTTCTATTTATTTTTTTTTTTATTGCTGTTGTGGTAGTTTGTACATATCTAGTATTCTTTCTTTAGTTGATTCTTTATTTGAAATATTCAAATTCGTCGCCATTACATTTAATATTATATTAATTAATTTCTTGGACGCGCTGTGGTTTCAAGAATTTCAAAATTCTTTACGTTATTCTCCTTATTATTGTTTTCATTGATGACACCATAGTTGAAACAACATCAAATACTATTGAACTTATTAATTATTACAATTAATTTGTCATTGATATACAATTAGAACTTTTTTTTTAATTGTTTATCTTTCTTTCGCTCCACAACTTTCGCGCTGATTTTTAATAATTTAAAAATTAAACAATAACAATAATGAATTATAACAATGAATAATTTAAATAATAGCAATTAATAATAATGGATATTTTGATTAATTTGATTAATTCTAATAATAATAATAATAAAGGTGCTCAAAAGAAAGAATAAATATAAATATTTTTGATCCTGAAATTCTATTTTACTGTATTATTTTTTTTTTTTATTTATTTAATTATTATTATCTAGATATTATTATTACTTAGTTGCTTCTTTCAAATAAGCAACAACATCATTACGTTCTTTTTCTTTCTTAAATCCAGCGAATGCCATTTTGGTTCCAGGGATATATCTAATAGAACAAAAGAATTTTTGTTTGAATTTTACTAAATAAACTAAATCAATAAATTAATTAATTAAATAATAAAGAACATTATTACATACTTTTTCGGATTTTCAAGATAATCAAATAATGTATTTTCTTCCCAAATTACACCTTTATTTTTGTTGGCAGCAGTATATGTAAAACCAGGAACTGTACCAGATTTTCTACCAAAAAGGCCAAAAAGATTTGGTCCTACTTTATTTGCTCCCCCACTTTCAACTGTATGACATTGAGCACAACGAGTTTTAAAACTATAAACAAAACAAAAAAAAAAAAGAAATAAATAATAAATTAATTAATTAATTAAAGAAATAAAAATTATTAAATTATTAATTAATTAATAATTACAGTTTAGCCCCATTTTTAGAATCAGCGGTAGCTATCAATAAATGAAAAAATTATTAGAAAAATTTCTCGAGAAGAAATGCAATTAATCAAATTAAAATGATCAATTATTTATATACAGTGAACCCTCTATAAATGAACCCCCCTCCCCCCGGGGAATCAGCATTAGAGTGCATTTATAGAGGGAATGCATTTATAGAGAAAAAATTTATAAGTATCATTAGTGGAGTATAGGATGCATTTATAGAGGGGTGCATTTATAGAGGGTTCACTGTACTAGATATTAGATTACTTAAAATTACCAGCGTTGAAAGGCATATTTTTACAGAAAAAATTGTTATATTATTATTAAAGAAAAAAAGAAACAATTTTTTTTTTTTTTAGAAAAGGGAGGCGAACTGATTAAAAAAAATCGAAAAAAAAGTTTTCGTTAAAAAAAAAAAAAATTTTTTTTTTATAAACAAATAATTAAGATAATTAAAAATACTTGATTTGGAAATTTTTTCGATGATGGAAAATAATGACACATTTCATAATCCGAAATATTCCGATTCCTAATACTCGGTAACTGGTTTCTAATATAGCAACATCTAAAGAAAATAAAGTGATTACAATAATAAAAAAAAATTGTGTAATCTTAGATAATCTTATGCATTAAAAAAACTGAAATCAATAAATAAAATAAAATGAAAGATTATCATGTGTTCTTAATTATATTTATTAAAGTTTTCTAAAGTCACTGAGATTTTGTAATAATTTTGTATTATTTTCAATGTAATAATTTTTATTCATTGGTATTATTTGATATTTTATTATTATACCATACATCTTTAACTTTCTTTTTAGTCCAAAGATTAGATGTATTCAATAAAGAATTAATATAAAATTTGTATCATTATCTATGGTTTCTTAATATGGCGTACTCTTTTATAGGACGTTCGCCATTTGTAGATGATGAAATAATATGAGAAGCGGATTGAAAATTTGAAGTGTTTTCTAGAGAAACTGATTTAATATTTGATACATTTTTAAATAATTGTCTTTGTATTAAATACAATTGTTTCCCTTTCTTGCATTTTTTATTATTTCTTGGAGATCTTTAACTTTTGTAACTACAATTTATTTTTTTTTCTTTACCTTTTGTATCTATTAGTTCTAAATGTAAAATTTCTTGTTTATAAATTTATATTAATCTTTGTTTTCCTTGTTCATAACTTTAAAAAAGCTTTTTGCAATCTGTGGGTGTTAATTAATTCCTAAATAATGAGTAATTTGTTGATATATTAAAGAATTAATTAATAACCGTACTACTACATTACTTCTTGTCGACTATTTACTGCACGTCAGTTTGTGATATAGTAATGTCATTAATAAATTCTCCAATTAGTAAATTCATTTTCCTTGATTTATCTTTTTAAATTTTCATTATTAAACATGTTACCAGTTATATTTTGTTTAATAAATTTAACACCAAAAGTTTCGAGTGCTTCGTCAAAAGCAAAGTTATGATTATTATGTGTAAGATTTACTGATCCAGCATAGTTTAATAATTTTTTTTTTTAAAACATGACATGGATATCTAATAAATATTATAGCTAACTGGAAATAAAGATTTAAGATATTTCCTGTACGAATACCTACTCTATGTCTATTCTATTTCTAATAACTTCTTCATTCAAAAAAAAAAAGCGATAACTAAATTATTACTATATTCATAATTTCATTAAAATTAATATTGTCGTCTCAAGGATTTTTATTAATCATTTTATATTAAGAATTTAAAACTGCCATTATTATTACTATTAAAGAATAAAAAATTATTTTCAAAAGAAAGCATTACATTATGAGTATCTTCATTTAAGCTTACTGTAAAATTCTTCTCATTTAATTCAATTGCTTCATATATCAATTGAAAGTTTAAACTGAAATACAAGACGTAAGATTGCATGTTGTAGTGGATCTTGTAGCATCATAAATATTGCTCCCACGAAAAAGAACTTTGTTTAAAATCAATTTCCATTGAAATAATTAACTGTTCCTGTCGCCATTAGTTATTTGATGTTTTTTGAACAATAAAGTATAAACCTTCAAAAAATAAAAAAGGTGGAATTGCTCTAGAATATTCTTTAATTCATCAAAATGGAATTAGCTAAATCTGTGCCAGTATGTCAGGTTTTTTTTATATTAAACTTGATATCATCGGAATACAAAATAAACCTGGTGATTTTTGTTCAATAGGCGTGGAAACTGGAAATATTAATGGCAATACTTTTAAAAAGAAGCGAAAAAAAGATGATAATGAGAGGTTACATCCACTAGTCAAATAGTACCGAATGGTAATTCCTATATTATAGATCAGCTAAAAATCGGTAAAAATCGACCGTCCTATATTATACATTTTCGGTACGGCAATTCTTTTGTATTTGACCTGTGATCGAAAGTCTCGATCCCGGTATATTCATTTTAATAGTTGATTATAGTGGTTATCAACATTTAATATTTGAAGCTGTGGAACACAATTAGAAGATTGAAATATTGTTGTATTTAAGTGTTTAAGTCGCATATGTTCTTATAGATGCACATTTTTAGCTATAATTAAGAATCAACAAAACTAATTGGAATATTTGAATCTTCTGATAAAGAGAAAACAAGAAATAAATGGAATCGGATCTCAAAAGTCATTTAAAATAAATAAATATATATATATATATATAATAAAGGACGATTTGAAACCAGGTCAAATTGTGAAGGATCTCTATCCAGTCAATATAATTAGAACAAAACAACCGAATAGGATTATCTACGTTCCTTTGGTTTTTGATTTGGGTCAAATTGGCCAAAAAAAACTCTTTTGATTATTCGAAGTCCAGGTCCGTATAAGCTTGCTCATAAAAGCTTCTAGACACCATTTGGATGCTGGCTCTTCAACGAAGAATTCATGTAAGCCTAGGATTTCATCAGAACATTTGTATTTAAATACTTCGAGCTCTTCAAGCGTGGTTCTTTGAGAGTGTCGTCCTTCATCAAAAAGAGTTTCTATTGAAGTAGAAATTTAAAGGAATTGAAGTACTTATAACTAACGCGATTATCATTTCGTATACGTGTCAGTGGCTTAGTAAAGTATATTCCCAGTATCACCAGAAATTTTTCTACCCTCCACATATTTTACGGGGGTAGTATATTTATCATCTTTCGAATATCAAATTTTATTAAATATCCTGGGTTTTTTACATTTTTTTACATGCGGAAACCATATTTGTCACCCAATATTCATCATCCCATTTTCTTCACGTGAATATAACATGTGAGATACCTGCCAATTGTGGACCAATTAAATCCAGAAAATTCTTTTCCACGTGAAATTCATGTGGGATAGAAAAATTTTTAAAATATGATCTTGACTTTGGCGTTTAGGCAAAAACTAATCTTCATTTTTAGTTTTTCGACTCATGACTACCACGCCTGGCTACAGTTCTTGCTTATAAAGGTAACCATTATGACTGCGTCTGGCTACAGCCGGCAGTTTTGATGGGCTTTTCATTATCTATAATCTTTAAAGCATTTATTTAATTATCACACTAAGTTTCAATCACCTTTTTATTAGTCTATCAAGGTATAGAGCGAAATAGTATGATGCTATCAAAGAGAGAGTACGTGGATCCTAGGCCATTTAATGAGAGTCCCAACATCATGTTTATTTCTTTGCTCTCTACTTTTCAGGTAAATTCTTACTAATTTTATATGTCTCTTGCTAATTATGAGATTCTCACACCAATACTCTTATTCTACAATAGATTTCCGAAATAAACTATCCTACACATATCTACAGAAGTTTCGTTTATCTATATCTCTCCACACACACAGACTATGTAAAATAATTCCCCGCAAGAGAATTTCCTCGAGGTTAAGAAATTTCGAACCAAGTATAAAATCGGGAGATTAGTAACTGAGGTAAATAAGCAATACAATATTTCCGATTTACACTTACCACTATACTTAATTTTCATAATATCCTCTCCGCCTCATATTCAAGAAGTTTGTTGCTTATTTTGATTTTTTTTTTTTTTTGTCGCCAGACTATACTGTGCTAAACATCAACTGTTTGATATACTGCACCAGAATCAGGTAAAATTTGCAAAGCCACAAACGCTGATGGTTATCACGATTTTCTCGGCGAATATCAAATGTTAAAAGATCAAGAATGGTAATATGTCTTTGAACATCTATAGAGCTGGAAAATCAATTAACATTGTGATGATGTTCTTCTAGAAGCTAGTCGAGCAATAAAATCACCATACCTTATTATTACTTTGCGGATTACACGAGTTCGTAAATAATGGTAGTAGTAGGTTAGATTAGTTTGATTAGCTTCGTTCGATTTTTATTTTACTTGCACGAGGTGGATAAAAGGGCTTACTAACTAAGGTCTCACCTTTTATATAATTTGCAGTGTTGATTTATGACCGCATCACAAAAATCAGATCATAATAGACGCTACTATCAACAAGGGGAATTCGTACAAATCATGAACAGTTCATGTAGTATATGCGGAACTTTCAGGAAAAGGAATTGATAGACGAGAATCACGTTACTGTACTTTGTTAATACATGCGAGCGATAAAAAATAAATACAAGTGCGAGAGGTTTGCTAAAGCAAATGGACTAACCCGATGTACATGACAACATGCATAATTTAATTTGCTCAAAAAATCGCGGACATTTCACATGACTGTTAATGATTCTTTTATTACAATACCCTTTAACAAGATGTTCTGTTTCTATACTTTATCTTCCTTCTGCACCTTCTGAACTTAGATCTAGATCTGTTAAACCGATTCATATATTAACTGAAATAAATAATGATGATAATAATGAAGAATTTCCCTATTGGGATGAAGCAATTGACGAATATTTTGACCGTCCAGATCATCCAAACTTTCATTCAATCATATATCCTAATTACTTTCGCAATTACACCATTCGATTCAATCAACCAAGTCAAAATTCAAATTTATTTTATTCTCGAGATCACAAAAATAGATTAATAGTTCAACAAAAAACACCAATATTATTAAGATTCACTACTTACAAAGTAGAAGATGGAGAACCATTTTTATATCTTATAATGAAAATTCCTGTAAGATCTGAACAAGAATTACTTGGAGAATATGCAACATATAGAGATAGATTCCAAGCAATGTTCCCTATAAGATATAATCAAGTAATTGAATTACTTCACAGAAGTTAACTAGAACAAAGAAATTGCTTATCTGAATCATATAAATCTATATTAACATCTATTCTATATAACTTTCAAAATCATGACTTATCAGATCTAATGTTTAATCAATTTCTATCATTAGAAAAACACCATCCCAACTTAGATTTTCAATTATTTCTAACTCTATATACTGAACAATATAAAATCTACTCTACATTATCTAATATATGGGGAAAATCGTCAGATGGAAAATATCCATATTTCTTTTTAACAGGTCCAGCTGGAACTGGAAAAACATTCCTATTGCATATTGCACCAATTAATTTCTTCTCTCCAAAAAAAAATAAAAAATACATACTGACAGCATCTACTGGGGTTGCAGCTCACAATATTGATGGAAAAACATTACACTCATTATTAAAATCCGATTCAGTGATGAAAGATATGAAACTTTAATCCACCTCAACAACGAAAATGAAGCCAACTTAAGAGAAATAGAAATAATAATAATAGAAGAAATTTCAATGGTAGATGGAGATTTGTTCACATTTGTTAGTGATATTTTCGCTAAAATTCACAATAATAATATTATATTTGGAGGAATACCAACTTTAATAATAGGTGACTTGACTCAACTACCTCCAGTAAGACCAAAATATGTCTTTCAATCCTCAGCTTGGTTACCATTATTTCCTTTATTTTTAATCATACCACAACACCAACGAGAAGATATTGAATTTTATAATGTTCTTCAAGAAATATGAACTGGTCACCTATCAAGAAGAAAAAAAAATATTATTCAATCAAAAATTAATACAAATAACAACCCTGAAGAATTCTATAACACTACTCATATTGTGAATACACGCCAAGCTGCTCTTGACATAAATCAACTCTTATATAGCTACCTCCCATTTGATCACACAACAATTGAACCTCTCATTTCAATATCTGAAGATACTTTAGACTTTGAAATACTAAATGAAAACCATTTGATCTCCTATTTTAAACACTCAACAAATCTACCACATATAAATTTGCGAGAAGGTGCATGTGTCATGTTCCTAAATAACAAACTTTTTGATGATGATATTTGCAATGGCTCAATAACAAAAATTGTTGACAATCAAAATGTAGAAGTAACTTTTCCTACCTTTCCAAATTTAAGCAAAGTTATTGTCCAAAAAGAAACTGCTTATTTTAGTATAATGGAAGACATGAATCAAGAAAACAATTTCCACTCCAAAATGTCTTTACCCTCACTGCTCATAAAGTGCAAGGCTTAACTACTTCCATTGACGAATCTTTATTTGCTGAAGGTCAAGCCTACGTTGCAATGAGCCGTGCAACTTCATGGCAAAACCTCCGTATTATAAACTTTGACTATAAATACTTGATATCACCAAAAGCTGCTCTAAATGAATACAAAAGATTAAACATAATACACGCTAGAGGATTACTGAATTTACATTAAATCTTTAAATTTACAAACCTTATAGTTAAGTTTTCACAAATCGGTTCATTAAATAATGAATTTTATTTAAATAAAATTTCGTCGTTAAAAAGAAATTTTTTAATTTTTAACAAATAATCGACTCCTATTAACGTCATTGCTCACAGCAACCGCACTTTATACAACGCAAACCTTGTTAATACCGTATAAATCATTTTTTAATACTCTACTCCATATTAGTAATGATTGTGTATGTCACAAGAAATTCGGGATATCGCTCAAAAACTCATAAAAAATAGAAAGGTAGGCATAATATATATAATTAATAAGATTTGATGGGGTCTTATTGCCAGGTGCTTGTACCTATTGGATTCGTTCTAGTGGGAACTATGCAAGTACTGAAATGGATGCGTTTGTTGGATTCGTTCTGATAAACATCATGGAATTTATTGATATAAATTTTTGGTAAAGATCTGTCAATTCTGAAGGAGGATTCGACAATGTACCTTTCTTTACATTATTAAGTGGACATCTGCCAATGGAGTAGAAAAAATTATTAGGGAAAGCGATTTCACAATTAGAAGATTCTCCAGCATTCCCAGAAAAGAAGAAGAGATACTTTATGTTTTCCGGTAGATAAAATCGAATGCCACATGCCCGAGAAAAGATATAAGAATATCAAGTTGGTATTCATTGCGGAAATCTAAAATGGAAATTTCTCACCAATTCTTACACGGCTCTCTCTCTTACTCTCTCTCTTTCGCTCTCTCTCGGATACCCACTTAATAAAAATTTATCTATTGATATATTCCTGCACCCACCATCTAATCTTATTTTTGCATGATTGTGTTTACTGGGAAATATTTCTCATCTGGTTTTGCTTTTATAGGCTGATGTCGGAAAAGTAAATAGCTTGTGGAAAAAAGCTAACAAAGAAAGGAAGTCATCGTCACCACCATCAGTAGCATCATCATCATTGCCATCATCATCATCATCATCATCATCTGTATTAGGGAAGAGGCAGAGTGACGCAAATATAGTAGATTTTTCTTCGAAAAAACCATGTATAATACCTGATATAAGTCACTTTTGTCCTGATGAAGACGTACCTTTGCAAGAGCGATAAATATTCGAACTTTTAATAAGAATACTATTGCACGAGGATCTTCCCGCTCTTACAAAAGTTCTAATCATTTGACAAGTGGATTCCAAGTGCAATGTACATGTTCCCAGAGAGAGCGTTTATGATGCAGAGATGTATCGGATACTGCATAATTGCCTTGCGGAGGTACATAGTTTTGTAATTACTGGACAATGGCACCTCGAAAAAGTTTGTGAAGATGGTGGTTACCATCATTTTTATTGTGACATACATTTTTGGCACAACAAAGACTTTACAAATGTCCGGATGAGTGCCAGATCATTAGATACCTCTGGTAGATTTTGTGAAATAATAGATCAACAAATACTTCCATAACTTATGACAAAGTAAAGTTTCACTTGTATTAAGTTTTGAATTTTTATTTCGAATATTTAGATCTTAAGATTAATGATGCAAGTTACTGTTGTACAGATATCGATACAATTATCCTTGACATGCATATCACGAGGGCGCAGTAATTATTTCGTATCTTTATTTCATATCGCTCCGGCTTAAGTTTGAAATAGAATACAACGAAAATGATCTAATTAGCGCTATTTTTTGTTTTGCCATTTTTTCATCACCATTAACGACTATCGTTCTTCTGGAAAATTATTTCTGCACACTCTTCTATGGAATTTGCTTCATAGTGTTTGAAATTTCATGTGCGAGGATAAGGGCTCTTGACCCCATACTGTATATCACTCAGTAATTGCAAAATTAGTATTGAATTCCGGATTTGTGGGTTCATAATTAATTTTCTTTTTAAGATTGCAAATACTTACCATCATACCAAGTCTTTCAACCATACCCCTCATATCCCGTTCTAATTCTATGATTGATTTTTGATAATGTTTATCTTTGATCTTGCCTTCACAATATTGTACTATATCTTCAAAGATTTGCATAGGTTACCCATAAGTCTTACACCAAATAAACAAGCGAATTTTGGAGTTCATTGAGCTCTTCTTCCTGGCTCATGTTAAATGTCGTGTCTAAGTTCTTTCTTTTAACTTTTTTAATAGAAACTTCCATGGTAAAATAATATACATACTCATATTATAATTATATCTATTCTGAATTTTATTATATATTAATAAAGCTAGTGTTAGTGTTATGAATCGCGATTATTCGACTATCAACTATATAGTCGAGTACAAATGTTAATCAACGAATAATCGCAATTTATTCAAATTCGGATTATTCACGATTATTCGTTATATCTTTTTTAGAGAATTTTTGTAATTTTTTTTTTATTTCGCTCACGATTTGCGAAGAGTAAAGCGACTTTCTACTAAGATACTACTAAGGTATTTCTAAGATAGAAAGAAAGGCCTTGATCTTAGCTACAAAATAATGTGTTTCATCTCGGTAGCATCGATGTTCGCGGAGATATTCATGTTTAAAGAAAAACGTTTGTGAAATTTCCGTCATAATTCTGGTCAAAATTATGAAAATTTCTGTCATAAATTTTCTACAATTTTTCATAATTCTGACAAGAATTATAAATATCTCCGCGAATATCGATGCTACCGGGATGAAACACATATTATTTTATAGCTAAGACAAGGCCTTTCTTTCTATCTTAGAAATACCTTAGTAGAAAATCACTATGCTTCACAAATCGCAAGCGAATTAATAAAAAAAATTTTAAAAAACTTTAATAAATACGAATAATCGCGAATAATCGACAAATAATTATGAATAATTGGTGATTATTCGACAACGGTGGCCATCAGACCACCCCCCCTTGAGTATATTATAGTATAAACTACTTGAGGGATAAGTTTATTAACTTGTAAAATAATACAAATTGGTCTTAACAACGACACCGAATCACGCAACACTACTAAAAGCAAGGTTATAGCAATGGAAATTGCAAAGGTATCATTTTTGATAGATCTAAGGTTATTTTTTTGGGAAATCTTAACCTAGACTCAGGGGTTTAGGTTCTTATCCTATGTTCTTACATTTCGTTATATTAAATGACATGGGTTAGGGTTAGGGTTTTCAGGTGCGGTGTATTTATCACCGTGCATCACACCTTTCGAATATTGATTTTTATTAAATATCTTTGGAACAGAATTTTTTTACATGCGGAACCATATTTGTCACCTAGAATATGTCACATGAATCTTCACATGAAATCACCTGCCAAATTATGAACCAATAAAATTCGAAGGGATCTAAGATATAGTTGCTTGACAAAACCTCTGGGTTTAAACAGGCTGTCAAAAGTCAAAGCTGTCGAAACTTACAAATTTATATTAAACTGGCGAAACTATATTAATCGCTTACTAAAAACTTGTCGAAACTAGAGGTTTCAATGTTTCGTCAAATTCATCAAGCAACTATACTAAGATAAAAATCTAGACCCCCGGGTCTAGGATAATATCCTAAACCGGGGGTCAGGTTAAGGATCCTCTATTTTTTTTTATACACTTATTAAGTAACGAGATGCAACTAATATACATTGTCATGTGATTATGGAACACCATGTATTAAGACCAGTAATCATTAAATCCTTGAATACTCAATAATAATGTAATATATAATATATAAAATACAAAATATGTAATATAATTTGCGATAATGTGACAATATTAAATAACTCTCATGCCCAACGACCTATAAAAAGGCAAAAAAAGATAATTATATTATATATGATAAATATTTTAATTAATAACGATTATAATAAATTTAATAATAATAAAGATTATAATTAACAAAAATAGATGTACTCACCAATCACCGCCATAGAACCGGCTCCTAATGTAAGACAAACAAAACCTAGTGTTTGTGTTAAATTTGATTTCTTTCGAAAATTAGGATCAAAAATAAAATCATGGGCAATTAATTCAACTAATGCAACATATAATAATATTCCAGCAGAAACAGAATCAAGTACTCCTTGAACAATAATAGCTGTAGCTGTTCCAGGATCATAAGATTCGTGAGCTATAATACCAATAGCAATTCCAATCGGTGTAGTTGTACCATAAACTAATGCCATTAACCAAGGTTTTATACTTTTTTCGGAAAAACTCGTTTCTGCTATACGTGATCCAAGACCTAAACCTTCGAATAACTTATTATTAATATTTATTAATTTATTAATGAATGTTATTAATTATGATTAATTATTTAATGATAAATTATTAGTTAATAAAAATTAATACTGTAAATAAATTATCGAATAAATTAAATAATTAATAATAAAATAAAAATTTTATACCTGATGAAATATTAATGCTATGAATAATGATATAAAATCTGATCCAACAGTAACTGCCAATGCCATTCCGATAATTACCGAATGGATACAAATACCTACCTCAAGAATAAATACACCTAAAGTTTGTTGTTTACTTGAAAGTAATAAAATTGTTCCATGAGAATGATAATTATCATCTTCAACATCATCATTATCTTCTTTATTCTTTATGACAATATTATTATTATTAGTAGGTAATTCTTGATCTTGACTTGTCAACTTTATGGACATATATTCAATAAAGAATACAAATAATGCTGCCATCATAGCGATTGCACCTGCCCAAGCTGAATATTCTGTCCATACTTCTCCGAGACATTCATTTGTTAAACTTTCAAATGATGAAGGAATCATCTAATAAGATATAATCATTAGTTATATATATATATATATATTATGTTATATATATTAATGTTTATAGAAGAAATATATTCTTACATGAATGAACGAAGTTGCAAGAATTACTCCAGTTCCAAAATGTTTACAAACTATATAATATTTTTAGTTGAATTATTAGAACTATTTAGAATCACGTAATTAATTAAAAATAACCGATATAGTTGATCTTTAAATTAATTTACATACCAAAATAAATATTTCGTGGAAGTTTAATTTTTGGATTTCTTTTTGTGATAACAGGAAGGAAGGCACCTTAAACATTATAAACATTACAATTAAACATAAATGACGAGAAGAAATTAAAGATAATAAATTAAATTTATAAAATTATTTATTTACTTACCAAAAGAACTTGTTACCAAAATTACAAACAATGACCCAACGTGTAATCCAAGGTCATAATTTTCGGGGTTAATCTTTTCGGATTCACATGAAGGTGTTACTTCTTCTCCTTCTGTTTCCGTGTCTCCTGTCTCATGACGAGCATTTAGAAATCCTAATAATAATAATAATAAATATTAAGAAAAATATGAAAATAAATGAAATAAATAATAATAAAATAATAAATAAAATATTGATTTTAAAAAAATTTTTCTCACGTTTTCCCCGTTTAATGGCATATACCGAATCAATAAAAGATAACAGTAATAATGATAATATTAATAAATTGAACCAATTTTTTTTTGTAATTTTCATCTCGTTAAAAATTTTAATTATTTCACTTATAATCTCAGAGGTAGGTAAAGTATATATCTCAAAAAAAAAAAAAAGGAAGAACAAAGATTGTGAAAAAAATGGTAACAAATATGTATTAAATAATAAAAAATTTGACGAAATAATTATATAATAATGTGACAAATAGATATGATATCCATTTTTTTTTCTTAAATTTTAGGGATTAAAAATGATGTCGTACGGTAGTAACTAAGGAGGTACTTTGTTTTTACTATTGTATTCTAAATGATTATCTTAAATGATTATCTTAAAATTATACACATTGGGTACCTTAATGGTTCTATTTTTGATCTGTGTAATATCTTTTTTTTTTTAACCATCAAGGTACTCCTTTGTTTTTATATCGACTGTTACAAATTTTCTACTTTATTTACAATTATTTAAATTATTTACATATTTTATTCGGATATCGCTTTGTGTACTTATTTGTGTAATAAACAATTCTAATTTTATTTTAATTTTTAATTCTCATTATCAGATATACTAAATTTATATTAAATCTAATCTTAATGATATGTAAAAATTATACAAAATGAATTGAAATTCGTAATATAAATTTATATATTTAAATATAAATTTCATATTGCAAAGAATTACATATGTACAAAATATTTATAAAGTCATTATCATTTGTCATGTGGTTTCATTGTCAATACATAGAGGGTTAAAAAAAATTTTTTTTTTTGTGTAAACGAAGTTTTGAGATTTTGGACTTTTTTAAAATGCACACAAAATACAATAAAACAACTTATTAAATAACTCATTATTATGAATGTGATAAATTTATATAATAATATTTAAATTTTGAAATGAGACCTTCAAATGACCACATTACCAAGTCATTTAAAAATGGTAAATTATTCAATTATGAATCTAAAAACAAGAATATTAACATGAGAATTTTATATAAAATGCTGTACCTATGAATGAAATAAAAAAAAAATTGTAGTTTTCATTTTCTTGTTTATGCACTTTATATATAAATATTGAGTTTTTTACGATAATCAATTCATCAAAGAAAACTGCAAATAAAGAGCAGTTTGTAATTTTGTATAAAAGAATATACATTATCTGTGGCTTCAACAAGAAATGATTGTTATGTTTCAAACAAAGCCAAACTTTATCACGTTATCTTTCAAAATGTATAAATAAGTACCAGAAAAATGAGTGCTTATTTTGGCATGGAAAGTTAATATAATATTTAAAATATTTATTAGAGAAAGAGTTAGAGAGAGAATAAAAAATCTCCAATTAAATTCATATATATACCACGTCCTTTATCAAAAGAAGATGTCTCTTATTTTGAAACATTACTTTTGCAAATGTTATTTTCAATGGATCAGCATTTAATTTTTTTTTTGAAAATCAAAAAATAAAATATTTATTTCTTTATTGTTCCTGCTACTAAATTTTCAAATAGACAAATAATGAGTAATAGAATTGCCAAAGTCTACTGAGAAATAAGAATTATATACTTTATAACTTTTAATTTACAATAATTTTATAGTTTACAATAAAAATAATACAGAAATTTGATTGGTTCCTGATAATTTGAAATAGATCAACACTGAGACTTCAGAACTGTTATTCTTCTCACCTTTTCGTTTATCAATTTCCTTTGAAATAATTAACTGTTTTCGTCGCCTTTGTGTTTCATTAGCTATCTGAGCCAAAAAGGGAAAAAGGGAGATGAAGAAGAGGCTGCAATGAAAGTCTAAAGATCCCAGTATATTCATTTAATAGCTGGTTATAGTGGTTATAATATTAGAAGCTGAAATAATCATCAGGTATAAAATATTGTTGTATTTAAATGTTTTAGTTACATAAGTTCTTACAATTGCACATTTTTAGCTATAAATTGAGAATCAATAAAACTAATTGGTATTTTCTATACTTTAAAGATCTGACCAAAAAACTACATAAAATAAAGAATGAAAGATGAATTTTCTTATAAAGAGAAAACAAGAAATAAATGGAATCGGATCTCAAAAGTCATTTATTAAAATAAAAAAAAATGAAGGACGATTTGAAGTGGTAACTTCAACTAGATCAAGTTGTGGAGGATGTCAGATTTTACATCAGAACAGTAAGTTTATTGGATTAATATTTTTAGAATTTTTTTTTGTTTATATGAAGAAGCCTAATTCATTCCTTTACTATAGGCGCGGATAATTCAATAATCATCTTTCCTCAGGAACTACAAGAAAATTGAAGAAATAAATGTCAAACTGTATGAAATCTAGTAAAATTTTATACGGTTGGTTTTGAAAACATTGTTTGAGATTGCTATTATCTCATTGTTAACATATTTTGTATAGACTAATAATATGAAAGAAAAGAAATTTATTACTGAAAATACAGAATTGATACTCTTAAGTATTCAATTTACGTTCATATAGTATTAAAGTTATATCAACGTATGAATGATAATTCAGTGTAAGATTATGTTTATCTGCAAGATAACGATAATTTGAACGTAATCCAAGTGTATTTTATTTGTTACAATATCAGAACCTGTGATGATATTCCAAATATTGATATTGTTTGGTATAGTAATAATGAAAGATTGGGATTACATAAATATTTTGCTAGCCGCAAGTTCTGATCGAAAAAAATCTTAATCGTGTTGAAGAAACTCGAAAAGAAGGGATGATTCTATAATCAGAAAATGTTTCGGGAGAATTAAATTTGAATTTGGGGTTCTATTGACAAAACGTTATGAAGGTCAAATGTTGAAAAAAGATCATGAGATAATTCCTGAGCATATTTTTATTTGTATTAGCCATAATATTAAAAAAAAAAAGTTTGTCATATTTGAATTTGTACACTTCTAGTCCCATAAAGTTATGATTATCCCAGTCTGACTTTGATACAATGGATAATGAAATAATCTATTTTTATATATTACATATAAATATGTTAAATATGTACAATAATGTGACAATATTTCACGCCCAACGACCTATAAAAAAGATATTTAAAAAAGGCGAATTATATTATAAATGTTAAATATTATAATTAATTAAGATAAAGATTATAATAAATGTTATAATTTAATAATATTATATATATAAATATAAATATTACAAATTATAATAAAGATTATAATTAACAAAAAATAGATGTACTCACCAATCACCGCCATAGCACCGGCTCCTAATGTAAGACAAACAAAACCTAGTGTTTGTGTTAAATTTGATTTCTTTCGAAAATTAGGATCAAAAATAAAATCATGGGCAATTAATTCAACTAATGCAACATATAATAATATTCCAGCAGAAACAGAATCAAGTACTCCTTGAACAATAATAGCTGTAGCTGTTCCAGGATCATAAGATTCGTGAGCTATAATACCAATAGCAATTCCAATCGGTGTAGTTGTACCATAAACTAATGCCATTAACCAAGGTTTTATACTTTTTTCGGAAAAACTCGTTTCTGCTATACGTGATCCAAGACCTAAACCTTCGAATAACTTATTATTAATATTTATTAATTTATTAATGAATGTTATTAATTATGATTAATTATTTAATGATAAATTATTAGTTAATAAAAATTAATACTGTAAATAAATTATCGAATAAATTAAATAATTAATAATAAAATAAAAATTTTATACCTGATGAAATATTAATGCTATGAATAATGATATAAAATCTGATCCAACAGTAACTGCCAATGCCATTCCGATAATTACCGAATGGATACAAATACCTACCTCAAGAATAAATACACCTAAAGTTTGTTGTTTACTTGAAAGTAATAAAATTGTTCCATGAGAATGATAATTATCATCTTCAACATCATCATTATCTTCTTTATTCTTTATGACAATATTATTATTATTAGTAGGTAATTCTTGATCTTGACTTGTCAACTTTATGGACATATATTCAATAAAGAATACAAATAATGCTGCCATCATAGCGATTGCACCTGCCCAAGCTGAATATTCTGTCCATACTTCTCCGAGACATTCATTTGTTAAACTTTCAAATGATGAAGGAATCATCTAATAAGATATAATCATTAGTTATATATATATATATATATTATGTTATATATATTAATGTTTATAGAAGAAATATATTCTTACATGAATGAACGAAGTTGCAAGAATTACTCCAGTTCCAAAATGTTTACAAACTATATAATATTTTTAGTTGAATTATTAGAACTATTTAAAATCACGTAATTAATTAAAATAACCGATCGTAAATTGATTTTACATACCAAAATAAATAGTTTGTGGAAGTTTGAATTTTGGATTTTTTTTTGTGATAACAGGAAGGAAGGCACCTTAAACATTATAAACATTACAATTAAACATAAATTGAGAAGAAATTAAAGATAATAAATTAGATTTATGAGAAAATTATTTATTATTTACTTACCAAAAGAACTTGTTACCAAAATTATAAACAATGATCCAACGTGCAATCTAATGTCATAATTTTCGGGGTTAATCTTTTCGGATTCACATGAAGGTGTTGCTTCTTTTCCTTCTGTTTCCGTGTCTCCTGTCTCATGACAAGCATTATAATAATAAGAAATAATAAATAATAAGAAAAATATGAAAATAAGTGAATAAAATAATAAATAATAAATAAAATATGGATTTAAAAAAATTCTCACGCTTTCCCCGTTTGACGGCATATACTGAATCAGCAAAAGGTAACAGTAATAATATTGATAATATTAATAAATTGAAACAATTTTTTTTTGTAACTTTCATCTCGTTCTTTCTTTTAAATTTTATTAATTTATTTTGTTAATTAAAATTTTTAATTATTTCAATTATTTCAATTATTTTTATAAGTTCAGAGGAAGAAGAAAAAAGAATCCCAGAAAAAAAATTAAAAGGAAATGACAACAAATATGTATTAAATAATAAAACATCATGATTGATTATAAATAATGTGGTCTTAAATTTGGGGTAATTATTAAAAGTGGTAAGTGATTTAAGTCGTACGGTCGTAACCAAGGAGGTACTTGTTTGCTTATTGTCTAAAAAGATTATCTACCTTAAAAATCATGCACTTTGGGTATTTTTAGGTACCTTAATGGTTCTTTTTTTTTTGATATCATCTTTTTTTTAACCGTTGAGGTACTCCCTTAATTTTTAAGCACTACAGCTTTTCTGCTTTATATCAACTATTACAAAGATTGCATAATTATTTACAATATTTTCTATGGAGAACGTTTGTGTTTATTTTGTGCTTATTTGTGTAATTAACTAATTCTATTTCTTAATTATCAGTTATAACATATTTAGTCATATTAAATCTAATTTTTATGATATCTGAAATAAAGATTGATATTTAATAACAAGTTGTTTTATTGTATTTTGTTTTTGAGATTTTAGATTGTTTAAAATACACACTTCTTTTACACAAAAAAAAAAATCTCTAACTCTGTACTCGACATTTGACAAATGGATCTACTTGATATTTGACTTTATAAATATTTTTGATGATTCTTTAAATCTCTTTATTAATTCTTCATCTTTTTCAAAATCTTCCATTGCATCAATTCCGATACTTTTCTTAATTCATTTTCTTTACCAAATTCTATATTAGTTATTATTATTCTGTTTTCCTTGTTTTAATTCATTCTGTCCATGGATTCTTATTTTATATTCGTTACACAATATTACAGTCCAGAATTATTCCTGTATGTATTTCATTCATTTCATTTACAAAAAAATTTTACAAAATTATTCATTTACAAAAAACTCCTCTAAATAGGTATAATCATTAAAAATATCAAAAACTATAAATTCATTTTTGAGGACAATATTCAATACCAAATTGATTTTGGTACGGGTTTATATCCAGATGTGATATTTTTCATCAAAAAGTTCACCTTAGATTATAATTATTTTTTTTTATTTCTTCATTATCAAGTTGTTGTTCATTATCAGGAGGTGGTTATTGAATTAATCCTTTATAATCCATAAATTTAAAATATTTTTTGTAATCCATTGGTTAATGAAAAATTGCTGCAGTGAATTTTTCAGCTATATATTATACATTCATGCATTTATATATTGTTTACATATGTTTATTTATGTTAGCATTTGTTTATCCATTTATTAATTTATAATAATCATAATATAATTAAGCAAAAATTTTTAATGGTTCACTTTTCTTAAAAATTTAACAATTTTTCTTTGAAAAAATTTTCATTCGCTACATTTTCAATTGAATGATCTATTCTAATTTGATTGAATTGACATTTTTTTGAAATTTTTTCCATTATAATATAAGATTAAGAATTTTTTCATAGAATGGTTAAAAATAAATAAATTAATAAATTATTTTAATAATATATGCAAAATATAATTTAAAATAAATACTTGAAGAAATTTTGGGATAAAAGTGAAAGTTGGTAGTTTTTTTAATTAAATAGAACCACCGAGTTTGTTATCGTTCGGCCTGCATAATTGTTTATACCAACTATTTAATAAGATTAAAAGATAAATAAAATTTATTCGGGATGCAAATGATAAATTGAAAGTAATAGAATGGATACCTTTTGTTATGGTACTATTTATTATGCTAAACGGATTGATGGATATATAATTGAATGGATACTAAAAATCAACATTGGATAAGATGAGATCAATGTGAAGTAGTATTAAAAGTTTTAAACTAGGTAAAGTATTATTTTAAATTTAAATACAAATTTATTTATTTGCAAATATTTCAATTCACTTGATGCTCGTTTATGGTATAATAAAAGAACAATCTAATAGATGGAAATCTTTAAAAATTATTTAAATAAATAATTTTAAATCGGTTTGATAATTATGTTATTTAGAACGATTAATAAATAGATTAACAAAAAGTAAGCTAATAGGACTAATAGGAAAAGTGTAAAAATTTCCAATAAGAAAATTATATTTGGTTTATTACCATAAAACACCTGAAGTATTAAGTGGTGCTGATGTTTATTCATTTGTAATAATTACTGAATGTCCACCATATCCCGCAATGTTGGGATGCTCGAATCACTCATCGACCCACTTTAAAAGATTGTTTCATGAGATAAATGAATATTATAATGATTATGATTATTGTAAAAATGAAAATAATGAAATTTCAATTCAAATTAAAGAATTTGAAAATTTTTCAGCAAATCACAACTACATAAGCAATTTATACAAGTCGACTTCTCAATTTTCCAAATCTTCTAAAACCTGTAAATGAATCAAATTTGAAAAAGAACTTGAACAATGGAATGGACTAGTAAATATCAATTGTATATTGTAATTTTTTTTCTGGTTAAAGCGAAGCGAGGTTCTTCAATTATATATCATATTTTATTTATTTTTGTAATTAATTATATTAATTTCTATATTTCTATATTTTTATTTAGATAATGATATTGGTGAATTCTAAGTATCAAATATATTAAGTATACTTAAAGATATCTTTTATATATAAATAGTTTGCATTTTATTATTTTTATATACAATAAATCATAAATAATTATCTTTTTACCTTAAATATAAAAAATTACTATATCAATATAATTATTATTGGATTGATAACATTGTGATATGTAATATATTTGTCAACTTATTATAATTTGAAATATTCTTTTAACAATTAGAGCTGGCTTGAAACTCACTTTAACTGCAAAATCTTTATTCTGGAATCGTTGTTCTTTAATTTTGACCCTGGGTTGCTTCTCGTGATCTCGAAAACCTAAAGTCAAATAATGTGGCAGTAGCTGAGAAAAAGACCGTTTGTCAGATAATCTTTAAAAACAGGCGCGACCGCATAAAATTTTAATTAGTAATGCTTACCGATAATGATATAATGAAATCAAAATCTCATGTATTTATCTGTTCACAAAACAATTAAGAAGCTTGAGATTTCATCTGATACTTCGAGACATTGGTTAAAACAGTGAAAAATATCCATGAAGACATCTCCATCCGGGACTCATCTCTTTTTTTTTCGAGTTGATTACTCAAAATGATTTATTATATACACATGTCTCTAGTAATAAAACAAAAAGAAGCAAAAACAGATCAATGTATTATACTGTAAGCCATTCCGAAATGTTGGCACGTATCCCATAAATCCGTTCTTGAGCTTATAATTTGATATAAGGTGTCAACTTACGAATGCATCATATTTTAACGAGTTTAACATGCTATCTCGTTCAAGACCTGCAAGAAAGTCGCGATGCTGGTAAAAATATAAGTGATTGAGTAATTCGGTTGACATTTCTACCAGGACTTGGTAATCCATGAATTTCAGCATAATTCTCCAGAAAATTCTTAACTGCTTTTGCAACATTTTTATCTATTACCATTTTGGTTTTTCATTTTGGCATTACCATGAATTCTTGAAATAAGTCCATTATTTATTAAGTGATTTCTAATAAGTCCTAGCATATTAAGATATATTTTTTGACAAAGTGATGTATTATGATTCCAATGATAAAATGTTCTTTTATTAGATCTAATTTTTCTTTTAAGACATTTACTATTACTTATTATTCCACCATCTATTAAAAATATTTCTTGTTCCGATTTAGATAAAGCTTGAAAAGCTACTCGCATTTCCGCAAACTTTTCTTTTGGAATTTTTATTTGAACAATTACAATTAAATTTTTATCCGTTAATAACTCGTGATCTAACATATAAAAATGAGTCAACTTTTTTTTATTTAATTCCCCTGGTT